GTGCCTAATATAGCGCCACCTATTGATAACCACTTGATATCAAACTCTCAGAAGGCTACATTAACATGGTTGTGCTGAGGTCCAAGAATCCCCTTTTTGCCAGAGCATCAAGGAGATTTCAGTCTTAAGATTTGTCATTATGTCAGGCAAAGAGGTTAGTTTTGTTATATATTGAATGTATTTCTATGAATTGTTGAAACATAAAGTGTAAATTAGTGTGTGTATTTTGTACTGAGAGATGTTGATGTTAGTATGTAGTGTAAGACATGCAAGCCCATGCTGGTTTAATATGTACATTTGATTTGATATTAAGAACAATGATGACAGTAAAGATGCTTTAAATAATGTGAAGATATTGTGAAATACTTTGAAGAATATTATGAGAGTGCTGAAGCACTAAGTAGAGATTCAGAATTTATAATTGTTTAGTTAATTGTTTAAACATGCTATAGTGAAGTCTAGTTGTGATACTTGTAGTGTGAGTTTGTATTTATGTAAAGCCATTTAATGCAGATGGACTAGAATAGTGACTGAGGTTATTTTAATGAGTTATAAAGATCATGACAGAATGTACATTATTTTATGACTTTCTCAAAGAGACTGTGTTTATTGCTATATTGATGATGTTATGATGTACTTATATTTATTATTCTTTATCTGTGATTTATCCACAGTTTTCACGGAATTTACTGGAACGAAAATGACTCCAATTAAAGCAAAGAATTCCCGTAGAAGCCTTTGTTCAGACTTTTGATTTAGTATCGACCTCGCTGCAGCCACAATGATGATGATGATGATGATGATAATGATTCGAATGAAAGAAGAGATGACATGATAAACAATGAAGAGTTGACACAGAAATTCTACCTTGAGTATTCTGATGATAACATCGTTTTAACTTTGGCCTTAAATGAGTAGAGTGAGCAGGCCCGTAGCCAGGGGGGGGGGGGGGGGGGGGGGGGGCACGTGCCCCCCCACAAAAAATTGAAATTGTTTAGACCCCTCCCCAGAACGTCGATCAATTACATGTATGTGTCCCCCCCCCCCCCCTAAACATCAAACTCTGGCTACGGCCCTGAGAGGGAGCAACATGATTTAATAGACTCTGGGAGAAAGTTCCATAGGTCAGGACCATGGTGTCTTATGGATTTATTTCGGGTATACTAGATGAAAATTTGAGGAATTACGAGTAGGGTAAGAGTGAATAGCTTTATTCATAGTGTAACAGTTTTGAAATGAAAGAGGGAGCATATTTTTTAAATACTTAAACATGATCAGTAAACATTGTAGCGAATTTATGTCAAATACTGTAAGGGTTTTCAGTTTGTAAAATATTGGACTTGTGTGAGATAAATAATGGTGAACCAGTACAAAATACGAAGGGCTTTCTTTTGCAATAAATAAATAGAGTTGATTTTGATTTTGGCGCTGGTGGCCAATACCAAATTGCAATATGTTATATACTGTAATATCAATAAATTATAAAGCATAACAAGCGGATAACATGGGATTAATTTCTTCTTTCAAAATCGTTTCAAAATTACAGTAAGTTCATTGGCTGCATGTATCTCTTTCAAAAAGTGTTTGAACTAACTATAACAATCCCATTTTTGTCTTGATGTCTTGATTTGAAATGTCTTGATTTGTAACTGTCCCTTATTACCTACGCATGTTGGTAATGAGAGACCTTTGGTGATGACGTCATAAATTATTTTTATCTTATTAATCAGTTACATCATGACCACAATTTTGTTTCCCAATAAAGAGAAGAAGTTACTAAAGAGAAAACAAAACTTTCTGTATGTGTAACATTTTTCATGTTTATGTAAATTATGGAAATGTGCTTAAGGGTCTCCAATTCCCCACACCTACCCTAGTACTAGAAATTAAAGAGGGCACTTACGAGAATGGAAAATGGACACTTATTGCAATGGAAAATGGGAACTTGTCGAAGGAAAAGGGGCACGTGTCAAAATAAAAGGGGCACTTATCAGAGTAAAAGGAGCACTATTCCTATGTAAAAAGGGGCACTTTTCGAGTGTTTGAAAAAGTGGGGGGAGGGGGCACTGTGCCCCTACTCCCCCAGGAGTGCGGCCTCTGCTGGGGAGTATTCCTACCATTATGGTCACCGTGAAGGCATAGGCATAACTAACACAAACTAACACGGTAAAGAGTTAATATTCCAGTTTATAGACTATGTACATGGCGCTATAGGGTGGTGAAAAGTTAGCGTAGGGTGGTGAAAAATTAAGAGTGCAGTTTATCCATAGACAATGTACATGGCGCTGTAGGGTGGTGAAAAGTTAGCGTAGGGTGGTGAAGAGTTAATATTCCAGTTTATCCATAGACAATGTACATGGTGCTAGGGTGGTGAAAAGTTAGCGTAGGGTGGTGAAAAATTAATATTCCACTTTATCCATAGACAATGTACATGACGCTAGGGTGGTGAAAAGTTAGCGTAGGGTGGTGAAGAGTTAATATTCCAGTTTATCCATAGACAATGTACATGACGCTAGGGTGGTGAAAAGTTAATATTCCAGTTTATCCATAGACAATGTACATGACGCTAGGGTGGTGAAAAGTTAGCGTTGGGTGGTGAAGAGTTAATATTCCAGCTTATCCATAGACAATGTACATAAAGGAAGGGTGGTGAAAAGTTATCGTTGGGTGGTGAAGAGTTAATATTCCAGCTTATCCATAGACAATGTACATAAAGGAAGGGTGGTGAAAAGTTAGCGTAGGGTGGTGAAAAATTAATATTCCAGCTTATCCATAGACAATGTACATGACGCTAGGGTGGTGAAAAGATAGCGTTGGGTGGTGAAGAGTTAATATTCCAGCTTATCCATATAGACAATGTACATGACGCTAGGGTGGTGAAAAGATAGCGTAGGGTGGTGAAGAGTTAATATTACCATTTATCCATAGATAATGTACATGACGCTAGGGTGGTGAAAAGTTAGCGTAGGGTGCATGGTGAAGAGTTAATATTACCATTTATCCATAGACAATGTACATGGCGCTAGGGTGGTGAAAAGTTAGCGTAGGGTGGTGAAAGTTAATATTCCAGCTTATCCATAGATAATGCAAGGTGGTGAAAAGTTAGCGTAGGGTGGTGAAAAAATAATATTACCATTTATCCATAGACAATGTACATGACGCTAGGGTGGTGAAAAGATAGCGTAGGGTGGTGAAGAGTTACTTTATCCATAGACAATGTACATGACGCTAGGGTGGTGAAAAGTTAGCGTAGGGTGGTGAAGAGTTAATATTCCAGTTTATCCATAGACAATGTACATGGCGCTAGGGTGGTGAAAAGTTAGCGTAGGGTGGTGAAAGTTAATATTCCAGCTTATCCATAGATAATGCAAGGTGGTGAAAAGTTAGCGTAGGGTGGTGAAAAATTAATATTCCAGCTTATCCATAGACAATGTACATGACGCTAGGGTGGTGAAAAGATAGCGTAGGGTGGTGAAGAGTTAATATTCCAGTTTATCCATAGACAATGTACATGGCGCTAGGGTGGTGAAATGTTAGCGTAGGGTGGTGAAAAATTAATATTCCAGTTTATCCATAGACAATGTACATGACGCTAGGGTGGTGAAAAGATAGCGTAGGGTGGTGAAGAGTTACTTTATCCATAGACAATGTACATGACGCTAGGGTGGTGAAAAGTTAGCGTAGGGTGGTGAAGAGTTAATATTCCAGTTTATCCATAGACAATGTACATGGCGCTAGGGTGGTGAAAAGTTAGCGTAGGGTGGTGAAAGTTAATATTCCAGCTTATCCATAGATAATGCAAGGTGGTGAAAAGTTAGCGTAGGGTGGTGAAAAATTAATATTCCAGCTTATCCATAGACAATGTACATGACGCTAGGGTGGTGAAAAGATAGCGTAGGGTGGTGAAGAGTTAATATTCCAGTTTATCCATAGACAATGTACATGGCGCTAGGGTGGTGAAATGTTAGCGTAGGGTGGTGAAAAATTAATATTCCAGTTTATCCATAGACAATGCACATGGTGCTAGGGTGGTGAAAAGTTAGCGTAGGATGGTGAAGAGTTAATATTCCAGTTTATCCATAGACACTGCACATGACGCTAGGTTCGTGAAAAGTTAGCGTAGGGTGGTGAAGAATAAATATTCCACTTTATCCATCGACAATGTACATGTACATGACGCTGATGTGGTAAAGAGTTGAGATTTTAAAAAATATATCCATAGAAAATATGTACATGACGGTGACATAATGGTGAATAGTTTCTGTGATTTGGTATTTAAAGAGTCAATGCCCCTTTTCCCAGAGAAGGCATATTTATTTATTTATTTATTTATTTATTTATGCATGCATGCATGTTCACAATTTCACAATTCATTGAAGTTAACATCGCATGAAAATGAATATAAAATAATATAACAAATCATTTCAATTTTACAATCCATTTGAATTGACTTCACATGAAAAAGAATATAACAATGATTTATCATACACACGTTGCAACTAATATACAGTTTGAAGAAAGAACACACAAAGGTGATGAAACATAAGCAAATAGAGCTTGAATCGTGTACCACCTTTCAAATATATAACATAGACTATGACAAATAACATTCATTCATGACTTATAATTATGGTGCGGGGATATATTGCAATTCAAAAGAAGATAATAACTTTTTAATTTCTAACATACATGAGGTGAGGTCTTAGTATAATTCTTTGATTTGCCCCTAAGTACTGCGCCTAACCCCCCCCCCCCCCCCCCCTCCATCATCTACTCTCATTATATCCGACCACAATGCCTATTTTAATTGGTAGCCAGCCATCGTTGCACTGATCATGCCTGACGGATACAATACACAAAGAATATATTGCGTGTGTGTAGTATAGCTGTTGTATGTGTACAATGCGATCCTTACACTTATCAAATTGGCAATTTTTACACATTGGATGGGCTACCTTCATCTCCGATTAGGTGTGTGAAGAAAAGCTTCACCCGTTATATATCTGTGATAGGAGAAAAGATGGCGGGCAGCGGCGGCTTTAAATTTGGGACGACAGCGACAGGAACAAGTGGAGGTGGTGCAGCTGGTGCCTTTTCGTTTGGGAATCCTAGGTAAATATATAATGATAGCCATGATGTGAGTTTTTTAAAATAAACTGTACCGTTTTTGATGTTCTTCACGAAGGAGATTGCTCACTCGTACTCGTGGGCCTTCAATCGGGCACGTTTTTCATGCAATGGTGTGTGCCTGCCGGCGATCCGCCACAGTTCATCGGGTGAGCTGTGGCCAACCATTAACCTCTGGCCGGGGGTGTTCTTTGCAGACGGGAGGTATGTATGTGAACAAAATAAATAGAAATCATTGAATCCCCTTGAAACTAGTACCATTTGAAAGAGCATAAAGAATACATCTAAACTTATACCAAGACTATCACCCTAGGTCAACGAATAGAGAAATAATGGTAGTTTAATGTTTACAAAACCAAAACACCCATTTTCAGTCCTTAACTTAAGGCAGCACACAAGTCAATGGAGGGTTGTGACATTTTTGAATGATCATTTGTGTGACTGCTTGAGCAAGCAGCAAGATATGTGTGCACTCATCGGCTAGCGGCTGTGATACACAAAGTTTCAGAGCAAAAAAACATTGTTACGGAAATCAAATCACCTAGATACAGATCTACTCATCTAGATCTATTTCAAATTCAATGCAGGTATATAAATTAATATTCAATCAAAACACATAATATTTGAAACTCAGCTCGCGTTCCTTCTAGTTCCTTCATTGAAATCCGACGCATTGATTGCTCGTGGCACAGGTTCTGATCGTCATACACGAAAAATATCAAAAACAAGACGAAATGAAATTTCCCCATGTCTAGATTGATTACCCTATTCATGATTTAAGTGCTAAAAATAGCACCACTATAGCGATTTGAATCTCTTTCAACTGTTGTGGGCTGCAATCAGACATTAAAAATCAGAGATGAAATCTATGAGATTTCTTCAAAATCGAACTAAAACAATAGAATTTGGCCTTGAGCCACATTTACAATCGGGTCTCCCATGGAATGGAAAAACCTGAAAAGTCATTGAAATATAAAGTCTTCTGGAAAGTACATGTAGTCATGGAAAAAGGAGAAAAAAAAAATCTTCTAAAGTCACGGAAAGTCTGGTAAGTAATCGTGGCAGGTAGATCCATCAAACTATGCAGGAAAAAAAAAATGCTGAATAAGCAAATTTGGAACTAAAACTTATATGCTTAATGTAGAGGCTTTATTTGTTTAAAGGGGCAAACATTCTTCTAATACTTGCCTTCACAGTGCGACAGCAAAACCAACTGGACTGTCCTTTGGCACTCCTGCACCTAACCCACAAGCTCCGACTGGAGTGGCAACAGGCTTTAAGTTTGCAGGAACATCATCACCAGCAACAAACCTATCTGGTGGACTGCAACTAGGAGCTGCAACAGGTATGTTTAGATATTTGTCCTGCAGAAAATATGTGTTTTGGTGAATTGGGTGTGCTTATTTGGGAATTAGTGTCCAGAGGTCCTGACATAATTTTTTAAATCGTAGTAGTGACGCTGATACCATTTCAGACTTCCACGATGTTACATGATCTGTTGAGGTATGAATACCCCACCCTATACCTTTTCATGTGGAATAAGTATTTACTGCTTCTAGAAAAATTGAGTTGAATTGAGTTTGAACTCTGGAGTTAGTAACTACAACATAAAAAGACAGGAACACCCCTGTAGGTGGTTATCTAATACAGGTACTAGTAAAATACAGTCTCGGATCAGGCAACAGTTTAAAATTCAAAATTGTTTGTGCAGTGTGTACTAGAACAAGTTGTCATACTTCATATATTCTATACCACTATCTTAACACATTCATTTTTGTCTGACTTCTTTTATATATATCTCAGCAGCATCTCCAGCTAGTAAAGGTCTTGGTTTTGGGCTTGGTTCCACAACAGCTACACCCGCTGCAGGTAAGTGATTTAGAATATGTCGGGCCATATTACTTAAAGGTACTATGTCCCATTTGCAGGCCAAAAAAATGAAAAAGTTAAATTCCAACTGCATTTGAAAGATAATACTTATTTAGAACTTCCCTAAAAAAGGTGGGGCTTGAAAATGTCTTCAAGTGGGAAAATAATGACTATTAGTTGTCAAATCGACTTTAGGGCTATAGAGCCCAAAAGTAATAGTCTTGATTTTCAGACAATTGTACCGAATGGTCATACGTTTTATGCTGCGCAAAGATTCAATCAGTTTAATCTTGGCCATCACAAGAAGTGGGTTATTGATGTAGACAAATGCTCATGTACCCTTTACAACTCTTTTCATGTATGTTATTACTAAAGAAGAAAAAAAGCCAGTCAGTCACTCAATAGTGTCTGACAGTGAAGTCTAGCAAGTAAATGGGTTTCCTTGCATAATTTGAATATGAGGACACTGCTAACGTTTAAATTTCACAGATAGGACATACATGACATATTCATAATTCCTGCAAAGTTCTACAGAATTTGAGGTTGGCTGCAAAAGGGACATAGTACCTTTAACATTTCAACTAAAAACAGTGTTGGTAAAATGTGAAGATGTAAAAACAGATTTGGGATTACGCAAGAGTATTTGTTCTGGAATACCTGCATTTTTTAAAGAAATCAAAATGAAAAGTTAGTTATGGACCAAGTATAGAAGAAGTATTATTGTATAAGAGAGAAATTTCCAAAGAATTTCAGAAGAGGAGAATAACTGCTAATTTATTAAAATATATCATTTTAATGAACTTGGCATTGAATGTGGGCAGTAAAGTATGATACATTGATTATTCTAGTTTGTAAGCTTGTAAGGTTACATGTATGTAAAATTTCCCATCAATTTCCTGCAGTTGTATACCAACTGATATTTCCTGTATCCCTTAGTTTAAGGTTACTTTGTATTATTTTTATTTTAGGTACTGGTCTAACCCTTGGAACACCAAGTACTGGTACAGGTCTATCTCTAGGGGGTACCATAGGAGGTACCAGCGCTGGAACAGGTCTGTCTTTAGGTGTAGCTAAACCAGGTGGGTTGAGCCTTGCCGGAGCTAAACCAGCTGGAGCAGGTTTTAGTTTGAGTGGAACTTCTGGGACAGGATTAACTCTGGGAGGTACAACAGGAACAGGCTTTGGCATCGGAGGGACTGCAGCCACATCTTCCGGACTTACACTAGGTGGTATTTCCACTAGTGGGGCATCGACTGGCCTTACGCTTGGTAATGAAAATACATGCATTTGTGTTCTGAAAGTAACAATGCCAAAGTCATGTGGGTTTATTTTTAACCCCTTAATTGCACCCAGATTATGTTACAGGTATGCGTTTAAGACAATTCAGTTCTGTGTTGTAATCATTTCATGCATCTCTTGGAAATTCTTAATTGAAACAATTTTTCATGTTTATTTTTCTTAATTCTTTGTAAAAAGAATTCAGAACAGTCATAGCTGTTGAAGGACATGAATGGATGTCACTGTATGTTCACATTTATGCATCATTTTTTTTGTTGTAGATGTTCAATTTCACATTGTAGGTGTTTACAATTTCTACGTCCTTGTGGTTTGCAGGTGTTGTTGCACCCACAGCTAAGGTTGGCCTGGGTGGTGTGGACCCTTCAACTCTGTCTACCTCCATAGCAACCACAAGTACTACTTCAGATTCAACCAGGTAATCTTCTTGACGTCATTGTTCAGATTGTCCATTGATTGCACAAATTGCAAAGATAAAAACAACTAACAAATCTTATTGAGACTCGGGGGCTGTCAACACTGGACAGATACATGTAATGGGGATGTTGAGTTGAATAATGATAAATATTTATCGCAAAGTTTCACTCTTAGGGCTAAAGCTTCATGTTAGCAAAAAGGGAACTTTACATTAACACATATTCCTGGAGATCAAGATAGTAGAGGAAGGAGTACCGGTATGTTGATTTATTTGACTTGTGATCCTTAGTTTGTGTGTCTCACTCCATCTCTCTCCCTCTCTCTCTCTCTCTCTCTCTCTCTCACTCCCTCCCTCTCTCTCACTCCCTCCCTCCCTCTCTTCCCTCCCTCTCTTCCCTCCCTCTCTCTCATTTATCTTTGAACAAATTGTAGCAAAGGACAAGGTGTAAAGGAAACCAATGTGCCTCAACCAATATGTCAGAACGTCAAGGCATTCAAGTGAGTATCAGTATAATGTTTATGAAATAGGAGTTTGATGCTTTAAATAGAACTGCTTATTGCCTACATGTATGTGAAGGAAAGGTTTTGAAGGCCACTATTTTTGAAAATGGTGTGTTGTGTTGTTGAATGGGTTGTTTTCTCTATAAGCTTGTGATATTGAACAGAGATGAGAAATTGTATTGCTTTGATAAATGTTAATTGTTATGAAATTATGTACTCCCTTATTTCATCTGATTCAGCATTGTGATGTCATTTTTTTTTTTTTTCTTTTTTTTTTTTCTTCAAAATGTGTCAAAATTTCTTTCCACAGTTATTCCAAGTTGTGCTCAACATATCTTGGTTTGTAGTTTGTATGTGGAATTTTATTCAATTATAACAAGAAATACTGGTATTAATAGATGATAGTTGAGAGCTAACAATTTATTTCTATATTTATTTTGTCATTGTTATTATTACTCTCTGTCACTTGCAGGGCGTACGTCAAAAAGCAGAAGTCCACCCGAGAGGAGATCTTGCGTTTCTCTGACAAACCCCTCCATCGGGTGCGGGAGGAGACAGCAGCTCTCCATCAGCTCCTCCGGCAGGCTTCCAGCAGTCTCCAGCGTAATGCTGCTGCCGTACGCAAGCTGAAGGAGCAGTCTGCTCAGCAGCTGAAGGATGTAGAGATTGCTCAGAGGACCAGGGAGATACCAGCTGCTCTGCAATTAGAATACTCTGCACCTACTGAGTGAGTCTTAAAGATAAAGTTGAGTTCTGGTCATGAGACTGCATTGTGAAAGAAACGGTGTGGAATCGATCAGAAAAAGTTGACCATCTAGCATATCAGTATTGGTGTGTACTGCAAGGTTCTGGAATCATCAAAATGATAAGAAATTTGGCCCAGTCTTGGTAAAGTTACAAGCACTGTACACAGCAAGATGTATATAGGAATACACGAACATGTGGCATAAAAATCCTACCCTGGATTTTTATGATGTTACATGCCATATTTAGAATATTAAGGCATGTGAAGAGCCATGCTTTTCAGGGAACATTCTTTATCTGATGTTCTTCCACACTGGCATAATAACAATGATAGCGCTCACAAATTATTGTTCACCTCTTCCTAGAACTCAACCTTCTCTTTAAAGAGATCTTGCTATAATATTTATTTTTGTCTGAAATTTAAATGAACTGGTACTGAAGTACCCTAGGGGTTGGAGTGAGAGATGTGACAACTTGTATATTGAAATCCTTTATTGATATACTTACTACCCATTCAAGGGAGAATTTACCCTTTACTCTTTTTGAAGTCCCTCGCATTATCACATTTATAACAAAATATAGAACGTTAGGTTTTATTCCAGGAGGTGCTTGAACAAGTTTCAGTTGTAAAAAATTCTGTTATTCATTGTTTTGTTGCCTCCCCAATCCTTTTTCAACAGACTATTTTTGTCTCTGTATGTTTGCAGTAATAGCAATCACATTGCACAATGTGTCGCTTCTTGTACTTGCATTCTCACACTATTTCTATTACTCCAGTCTGGACAGCTGTCAACAAAGCTTTAGGAATGCAACAAATTCATGATTACAATTTTTGAAATTGTTTTCTCCCCAGGTATTTCCAGAGACTTGTGTACCAGTTTGAGCAAGACATGGTGTTATGTAGACAACAGATTGAACAGATGGAGAGCTTCATGGCAGCCCTAGAGCAACCTGCTTCATACTCACCTCAAGGTATACATCAGCAATGTTCTGTATAAAGCCATAGCTTTGGGTTATGATGATGATGGTGATGATGATGATGATGATGATGATGATGATGATGATGACGACGATGCGGACCTCGATTTTAGCAAGGCTGCCATTATGGCACTCTAGCATTTCAAGGAATTAATTCCTGCAAGGTTCCAATTTACCTCATCTGGGTCGAGTATGGCATATGTAGATTAATGTCTTGCCAAAGGACATTAGTGCCGCGGGGAGATCGGATGGCAAACCATGTGATCCACAGTCCAGTGATGTATCCAATAGACCACGTCACCTCTATCAGTATACCTTTTATCAGTGCCAACTAATGAATGCCAAGAAAAACAAAAATAATGAGAATTGCAATTGAAAGTCGGCAAACTGCTGCTGATGATACCATACAATCATTTTTCTCACAAGAAATGTTTCATTGACTGTCTTCTAAATTGTTCAAATCTATTAATGTTTAATGATACCATCGTTTATCGACATGATTTTCATCAATATGAATTTACCTCTCTTTGTTCATGTCATTCAACTTTAGTTTGTTTACATTTTCCCCCCTAATTTATTTTTTCTACAGAACTCTCTAATATCATGGTGAAACTCAACGAGACATTCGTAGCTCTGGCTGCCCAACTTCAAGGTGTCCATGAGATAATCAAGGTTAGTACATCTATACACATCAGTATTAGCCATGTACATTAATATTAATATTGCTACTCAACATTTCTAGTGAATAGGTAAATAAGCACATGTATTGCAATACTATCTTACTAATTACATTCTCGAAATGTCTTTTTAGCACATGTCCTAAAGTTCTAAATTTGCAAGCATAGTGATTGGACCAAGTTTGTTGACATCACATGAGTTTCTTTACTTATTTTGGTAGTTAATAAACATGTCTCATATGTGAAGTACTTTCATACAGAAGGAATGTTTGATAGGATGATTATGTGAGATTACATGAGAATCTGGAATAGACTACCCTATGTAGCTGGAAATACACTCTCACTTGCTACGTTCCGGGAGGCTGCCATCCCTACTATCAGAAGTTTGCAGCCTCTTGCTGGATCCGGCTCCTGCAAACTGAGCAGCGATGTTTTTACTTGCACTTCTCAATTTTTACTGTACATACTCTTTATAAACTTCACTCCATTAATACTTCAGGGTTCAAGATTATGACCCAAATTTTGCCCCTGAATAGGACACTGTGTACTATGTATTTCCTTCTTACAATTGAGCAAGAGGTAATCTCAAGGGTTTTTCTCGAACCCCACATTTCAAACGGGGCAGCCGCAGGTGTATTTTTCATATATTCTGAAGTAATCCTATGACACTGTTCTTTTCCTCCAGGCCCAGAAAGAGCAGTACCTGAACTACCGTCGGGTCTATCTGGGAGACTCCACAGATGTATTCTCAGCCCGTCGTAAGCTTGCTGAGAGACAGACCAGGTCAAAGACACAATCCAAGGGTCCTCAGCCCTTCACACAGTTTCCTAATATGGCCCTGGTTATGGCCACAGCTATGCAGTCTGCTCAAAAACCAACTGGTGAGAATATTGATGTACTATCATGTTTTTTTGTTTACTTCATCTATTTGCTAGGTATGTTTCTTCTGTTAGTGGAGAGAACTACAGATATCCATTTTTATATGCCAATGTGTTAATTGTAGATTGAGATTTGGTTGCAAAAAGCCACAAATAGGTTTCAGTGTTTAGTTATAGGGCATCTAATATATGTAGTGCTGGGTATACCCTTTTTAAAGCCCCCTAAAGTGTTTGGACCCCCAAATTTACTAAGAAATTTGATGACAAAATTTCACTTCAATTGTGTAATGATGTGAAAGAGGATGTCATATAACACTCAGCTCTGTAAGGATTTTCAAAACAAATGTGTTTGAAGACGAATATTGATGAAAGAATACAAAACTTTTGTGTTTTGTGTTGTCTTTTGTGTTGTACGCAGAAAACCTAAATTTTGTATTCTTTCATCAATATTCGTCTTAAACACATTTATTCTGAAAATCCTTGCAGAAGTCAGTGTTAAATGACATCCTCTTTCACTTCATTAAACAAAATAAAGTGAATGTTTGTCATCAAATGTTGGGGGCTCCTAACACCTCAGTAGTTGCTTGGATAGAGTTAATCTTATTAGAGAAGCGGAAAAAAGAAAATCTAATGTTAGGTGAGATTTACTTTGGATTTTGATTTTCCAAAGTTGATAACTTGTGAGCATTAGTGATAATTAGTTGGTGAGAGAGGATGTTTGTTTTATCTTTGAACACTATGATCTCACTCTACTCTTACCAGGTATGGGAGGTGCCATGGGAGGTGCCATGGGAGGTGGCTTGCAAACTGGTCTCGGCGCCAGGACAGGCTTAGGAGGTACAGCTGGAGGATTGGGTGGTACCGCAACAGGATTGGGCGGTACTGGCTCAACCTTCGGTGCCACATCAGGCTTTGGTGCTGGCTTCCAGAACAAGGGTTTCGGAACTGGCACTGGGACCTTTGGAACAGGCTCTACCTTAGGAACGGGCCTGGGTCAGACCGCGTCAACCTTTGGTGGTGGTGGTGGAACAGGGGGTCTGTTTGGAACCAATCCAGCGGCAGCTACTACCTCAGCACCTGGATTTAACTTTGGAGGTAGTCTCAGTGCAGGTCCTAATCCAGGGACTACCGGTACAGCAGCTACTGGCTTTGGAGGTTTCGGGACCACAGCAGGTTAGTTATCATTGGTATTCTTTCAAATTAATCTGTGATTTTTATCCTTTTTTTGTTGTTTGGAATTTAAGTTCACAAAATATTACTATTTCGGAAAATTTGATCACAAAGAAAAGAATGTAATGATCGGCTAGAATTTCAGCTTCTATTCTACAAAGCTCCCTGAACTATGATTTAAATTTGATTCAACTTTTATATAATTATTGAAGAAAAAGAATTATGTATATTTCATAGTGCACATTTAGTAGAGAGTTACAAGAAAAGTTTCCCATTGTAAATCTGTAAAAGAAATTACAATAACCCTGTCAATCAATTGAGATTTAATTAAACTTTAATCTGTTTACTAAAGTTATGAGGTAAAAGTAAAGTTGTTCATTCAAAAGCTTCTCAATAAACACTGCAATTCTAATGAAATCTCAGACTTAAAAGAATATTGCAAAAAATGCTTCTAGAACTTTGCTTAGAAGTCTTAGAATTGTATGCTGGGGCAAATATCTTTAAAAATCAATCATTTTACAAGACTATTTTCAGTAATACACATATTCAGTACTAATATTTTAGACTGCATGTGAATCTAAAATAGCTGGCTTTCTTTTCTTCTATTAGTATTATAGACTTGTCTGTGTTCTATTCTGGACCATTTTCTCTCTCATGTGAAAACTATTTCAGCCCCAACTTTCAAGAGTTAGTAGCATCTTCACAGTGCAACTAATAAACCATCTGGTAGGTTAAAAAGTTGTATCAAATCTGGATTATTTGGAAATCCCCTTTTATTACTGTTTATATTGTACCTTCTATCCAAGTTTTTTTTTTTCTTCAATTGCTTGTTCACATACTATCTTAATGTTACTTAATTAGAATGGAGCAATTTGCATGTGGTGTCTTCCTTAGTCATATTATGTCTTTCTTCGGAATGTACTATGGTGTATACCTCATGTTTTTATTCTCATTTTACATGTGAAGCAAAGTTTGAGAAATCATTTGGAAATTTAGTCGTTAATTGTGTTATAGAAGATCAGAAACAGAATAATATTATAAAGAATTTTCATATATGATATTCTTAGGAAGTTTATTATTCTTCATTTTCTGAATGAAATTTCTAATCCAGTTCCTAAGTTTTGCTTTAACAAGGACCTTATCTTGTAGTATGAAAACTAATATGACTTGCAACCACTGCACGTTTTAATGAGCATTAGAATTACCACGGACATGAAAATTTTCACCTCATTTACATAATCTCCTTCTTCTTTTTCTTTGTCTTCTTGGTTTTTTTTTTCTTCTTCTTCATTTTATCAACATTTTCCCAACCACTTTGGCAAATCCTGGTATCCCCATCTTGTAATTGTTATGGAATCTACAAATTAACATTATTATTGTTATTATTATTTTCACAAAAATTCACCATTACCAATTAATTAAGGTGATAACCCTAACACCGGTCTAGCATTTTATCTGTCACATATTTTTTGAAACAGCTATCACTGGATTTAAAGATAAAATAATCATCTAGTGCATTATTATTCCATTCTATGCTGTCATGATCACACAACATATCATGCTATCACTTGTTTTTTTGGACCATCGAACAGATATTTTATGCACCTTGATAGATGTAAAGTGATGTGAAGGTATTAAAAATGTCTATTATAATTGTGACATTGTGACTTCGGTGTACATGGGCAAGAGGCACGGGAGGCATGGTATAATTTTGTTGATATACTTTTTGATCGGGGGGGGGGGGGGGGGGGAGGTGAGGGGGCACCATGACACTTTTTCATTTGGGGACATTGTTTTAAGGAGCCAATGGGCTAATTGGCTATGCCGTTGATGTAGCCCTAGCTTGCAGTTTAGGGTTATGGTCTATTTTATTGCCGTTTATTTTTTGTTGCCGTGTTTGGAGTCTTGATGTGTTTTGGTGAAGATTGTTAAGGAGTTCTGTAAGATTTCTTGTAAATACATGGCATCAATGATGTGTCTTGTCTGATGTGTAGATGATCATCATGTTCAAAGAGATCCATTATGTAATCATCTTCCTTTTCAAAGTGGTTGGATGTAATAATGGATATTAATTCTTTAAAGTAGTTCTTTGTTTTTCTTTTTGTTCCTTCTTGAAGTGTTCTCCTTGTTGTGACAATATGTAGGCTTGTTAGTTGTGTTGTTAAATTGCTGCAAAATAGGCATCAGCTGATATGAAGATGGTTGTTTACAAGATTTGTCTCATTGTTTATAAAATTAGATTATTCCTTTGACATATTGCAGTGTTGTTCATATGATTTCTGACCCATAGAGTTTGGCTTGTTGTGTTTTTGTGATGGTAACATTTCCCTCATCAATGCTGTTTTTTCACTCTTGTCTTGGTTTTAGTGTATTCGTCCAACAGTTGATTTGATTTGGTATGTTTTGCCTGGATTCTAATTTTATCACATGCAGTTTATACATGTCATGTATCCCTGGTTGGTAGATCATTTTGAACACTCCCGTCGATGTTCCCTGCAACTTTGTGTGTAATTGTATCAGTTTCCCATAACGGCATGTCGAGTTTCTTTTGGAATCATGTTTCTTCTATATATATTATGTTTCATGGACACTGTTACTAACACCTAATAAAGAAATAAGTTAAACACACCTATACTCAAAACTTTTTAGACTCTATTTGATGGTACACTCATTTGATTCTGGTCACAAGGAGAAATATTTACAATGCATACTAGCCAATGAATGGGGAAAATGGGCATTTCCGAGTATGTTAATACCCTATTATAGGCTATATGTATTAATCTTCCAATGTACTTTGGGGAACCCTCTGGTTATTTACGTGGATGAGTGCCTGGGAGGAGAATTGCATATTATATATAAACATATATCATGAATTGTTGGTATTACCAAGATTTTTTGGGAGTCAGTTTCCAGGTATTTTATGGAGAATGACTTGATAAATTTAATATTGAATTAATGATTCCTACATGTAATTTTTTTGCTACCACAAAAACACAAAAAGCCAAGTTTGTTTTTACCAAGATAAGAATTTTTAAAAAAATCACGATATGACAATTTCATGCACATTAACAACTTGAAGCAAAATGTTTTAATGTGAATGGCAAAAAGTTATTCTTGTATCTATTTTGCTCTATACTCCTGCTAAATGATAATAAGAATATGTTATGTGAAATCACTCTTCATTCCGTAACACATACAGGATATTAAAAATGTGTTTTATAGTTCTTGAAGAGGATTTCCCAGTTGATAGAATATTCACACAAGTCTAAAGGTCAGGTCAATCAGACTAAAGTCCCATTGGACAGAAAAGCTAACAAGACTCAATTTAGAAGTCTAAAAGATCTTTGGATATCTCATTATCTTAAAGCTTCCGTCATTTATTTGTTAACGAGTCATATGAATCTTAAGAATTATAATGTTGTGATGAATCAAACAACCGGAGGAGCAGATTGATGTAACCAACATTTTTCTTATCCATCATTTGCAGTGAGAGAATTTATATAGGACTACATCTGGTTATATTCAGCGTCGTAGGATTTTTTCCCCTTTCTTCTGATTTAGTACATACCATGTATATGTAATTGTGTATAGCAAGATTAAGCTAAGATGGATTTCTTCTTTATTTTTCTTTGTGTGCATAGCAGGATCTTCGTTTGGATCGACCACCACAGGGAAGCCGCTACAACTTCAGAAACCTCCTCTAAAGACACGGAAGAGCACACGCTGAGATGAGTTGGGGATGCAGGACACCAATTAGAAGCATGTCACTCTTACCAATGGCCACAGTTTAAGCTGCACCTGATATTACAAGCTGTGAACATTAGTTAGGAGCACACAACAATCTGTTAGCCTTAAGTTTAGATCAGGGTTTGAAACTGTCTTTTATTTGGGGAGCGTGCGAATGCTCTTGTGGTTATGAAGATTTAAGTTTACTCAAAATTACAAACCAAGAGTGATCTTAAGGTTAGCTCAGTAACCTTGAGTAGTTTGGGGTCCTCACCCAAAGTTATGTGCTATGTGGATATATGAACTCTGAGGTTACGCCAGGTTGTAGTTAAAAACTTTGAACACTTGTTGTTTTGGAGCGTTTGAACCGTCGTTATAGATTGTTGTTGATAACTTTGAGGTTTGGCAAACTTAAAGTTTAAACTGCAATGGTCCTAGCTTTTGACTTACTGGTAGAAGAAGGAGTATGGTTTAGTTAATGAATTATTGATAATTACTTATTGATAATTACTTAAGATCCATCAGTCATAACAATATCCTTTCATGATCATTACACTTGGATTGATAACTAGAGGATGGTCCAAATCAAAACAATTTCAAATCATACATACTGTCTTCTCTGTCTATATCAACAGTCAATTGTTGAAATTCCTATACGTCGAGTACAATATACCTCAAGATTTTTAAGTGAATTGGCTGAACTCATATTAGAAATTGTCATAATAGAAAATTAAGGAACTATCCCTCACAATTTACAAAGATAATAGGTACATGTAGTAACATAGATTCTTTGGTTTGGGGTATGAAATGTATCTGGTTAACTTTCTGTAATGTCTGTACTCTGTAGGCAGGTTATTGTACAATTTATTGCAATATTTTTAAACTGTTCATGAAAACTGCATGTAAGTTTCAAGATTTTCCTAAGGTGTTTTATATGTATTGATACCAATTATTTATTGACCTTGTTGGAGACTTCCATAATTATACGTGTGCATTCAGCAATGGCATTCTGGGCAAGTCTTTATGAAGTTTGGTGTCTGAAAGAAATGTGTGTAAATTGGATTGCATTTTTGTCACCACATTCCAACCGCAGCAAACTAAATTTAGTGAAAGAGTACAACATTGACATTTAAGTAGGTTTCTTTATTTAATGCAAAGAGGTTCATGTACTATACATGTACTACTAAACTGATGTCAACACACCATGTTTGTCCTCTTTCTGATGGTACAAAGTTGATCATGTGACAATGATCAATTGTCAACTTTTCTTCTATTCTTCAAGTTTTTTGCAAACTTCTGGATCAAAACATGGTAAACACATCACCTTTGGAGTGTAGTACACATGGCCCTACTCTACATGTGTTTCAAAATACAAATCGAACCATCAAAAGGGGCTTGAATTGTTACTACAGCAATATCATTTCAAGTGGTCAAGTACATGTAGCAGTCAATACTTTTTGTTTTGTTTTGTTTTAGGACAAGTTGGGGTGACAGCTCTGTTTTCAGCACACATTTTAGGAAGTGAATGCAAGTACCCAGACAAATAAGTACCCATACTAAAGCATTGACATACATGCACAATGTAAATTCTCCTAAAAACTTCTGTTTTGAACAAAATATTTAGAGAATGTCAAAAATGATGCATTTCTTTAAAGCTTCAAAAATTAATGTATAGAGAAATGTATAAAATCACTACCAAATCAATATAGGAATTTACTATTTCACTTTGCTTTTATCATACTTGGAATTGAAGGTAAAAGGGAAATGTCACAAATTCTGTAGTCCATTCTGATGCATAATCTTAAATCATGATATATTGTCAAATACGAGAAGATGAATGGTCTAGTAATCATATACAACATGAAATGTTCTGTTTTGTTAAAAAAATAAAGTAAGTTATGTGATATGATTGTTCGATATATCATTATGCCTTTCAAATCCAGCAAAGGGAATAAATAAATGAATTGTATGAAAAATTTCAGGATGTTTGGTCACTTTTGTGCATAAAAAGCATTTAATTATATGAAATATGTTTACATATGATACATAGAATACACATGCGACCCAACTTTCCAATGACAGTCCTACTGGAAACTACATTGAAATGAATTAAAAGGATATTCATCTCCAAGACCTCTAATCATTAATACAGAAATTTCTAAAAGGATGACTTTAAAGATGTAAATGACATAAAACTTATCATTTCAGAAAGCAGAACATGTTTCTGCATTATTCCCCTCCATTCTCTGCCTTTTTTTTCTTCTTCCTATTCTGTAATGTACGAGTTGTGTCAGAAATTATGGGAAAATCTGAAAATTTATGTACATAATGATCTTGATCTAATGTTGTCACAGACATAACAAACAAATACTGCACATAGTATAGCAATTGAATTGTAATGAATGTGAATTTTTGACAGTATTACAACATAACGTTTTGAGGGTAATTTGTTCATTTCTCTGTACCAAGTACAAAGGTTTTTCTTGTACAGAATTATTGCTCAATTTACTCTACTCTTATGAAAACGGAATAATCCGAACATACAATGCACACTCATTACCTAAAAGTGTGCTTTATGGTGCTATACAAAAGCAGTAAATTATCATGATGTAGACTGAGTTCTCACCAAACAAACACATTGCAACACTTTAAATATTCCATCATTTATAAATCATGTGTTCTTATTATAATACAAGAGTCACCATACCAGACATAATTTGAATAAAGAATCTGAATTTTAAGTATACAAGTAAATGACTATACATGTCTAAAATCTATGCAAATGATGCATTACTGTACCGTATCCAGCAACTGAACACATTCATACTTAATATTTTCCTTTTTACATAATTATACATGACAAAGCAACAAATATTGAGCATTCCACATGATCATAATGAAAGAATAACCATTACATAGAATATATTTCATTTGACTACAAGAATCGATATCAGCATACTGAGTCAACACATAATTACCAGACGGAAGAAATGCAGATAACAAAGAAGAGAACAAGAACATGAAAATAACCACACTAATACCCAATATCACTAATATATATCCTTTTATCCCTAGAACCTATGTATCATTTAAGTCTATTAAAATCTAATGGAAATCTTAATTCATTCATTTCCAGGGAAACCTCAAAAGCAACAATGAATTAGTGATGGAAGCAAAAAGAAATAAGTGAAATTAGAGAAAAACAGACAGAGCTCTTAATGATTCATTTGATTGTATTTTATTTACACAGCATGAAGATCATGCTTCTCCAGATGATGCTAACGTTTACGCAGTGGAAGCCGTTTGTTAAGATAATAAGAACCAATGTGTCTTCATACTTTAACAAGGATTTTGAATCAGATATAACTGAAAATTTCTCTGACATTGACTGTGATGATGGTGACGATGGTGACGATGGCAGTGATGATGATGATGATGATGATGATGATGATGATGATGATGATGATGATGATGATGATGATGATGATGATATGATAACGATGAAATATTGATGAGAATGACGAGCAGAGTGAAAATATGTGGTAACATAAATCTGAACAAAAATATTATGTTGAACGTACAACCACTGCCTTTAAACAATTACAATGAAATTTATGAATCATGAATATAGCACATATTCTCTACCAACTAACAAAGTCTCTCAGCACTTTGATGAATATACCCCAATATATACGTTTCGCAAAAAAATAGCATTTCTATAGCACAAAATATGAATGACTCTAAGAACATTTCGGTGACAGACCCCCATCCTTGGACATATACATACACAAAATATGTGCACCATCTCCACAATGAGGAGTAAGCTTCAGGGTCACTGCAAGGTCAAAGGGCAAGTACCGTGACACAAAGACTTACTTCATCCTAGCAAGTCCTTATATCTTGTTTGGGTATTAGGCAGGAAACAGGGATTATAAATGATAATCGGAGCTGCAGGTTGGGAAATGTTTATTACTCTTTCACCAGAGGATAATATACATCTGCCGCTTGGATTGCAACTCGGACCATTTGACCCATAACCTGATGACCTATCCACAAGGTATGACACCTCCACAACATGAACACTATTTCATGTGATAATCTACGGATACCCTGGCTACATCTTGCAAATTACACTGAAACAGTTCTTGTATCTGTCAAGAATTTCTTCAAATGGTGTTGATCGAGGGACGATATCACAGTAATAATATTTCAGTCTTTTCCAATATTGCTCCTGTAAAGTGAGATCCCATTTAAAAGTGATGAGAACTTATTGTGCACTATGATGCCTCCTCCTCCGCTGAGTTCAATGTCGTCACAACAATGTCTTGCATGATGGGGAGCAGTAGCTGGAATGCATCTTGGATGTATGATGCGCTGTTGGAAGCCTGTAGGAGTAAATGAGTAAATTGAGCAAGATTTGGTCAATTGAAGAAAATAGAAACGTGAATAAAATGGGATCAATCAAGGAAAAATAGGTTTTAAAAAGTGATATATTTTTAACCAACTTCAGTGATGAGTAATTTTTTACAAGCATTTTTTTTTTTGCGGGTGTTTATTTTCGCGAATTTCGCTAATCGGTCATTGTTCGCAAATTTAACATGTGAAAATATTTCCAGTTAGTAATGTCGCATGTCGAAATCACTCGAGTAAGCCCCATTGCATGTCACTGTAGCATGAGCCGTCAACGGGTCATGCAACGTAGTTTGAGACCACACTGATCATAACGGGGCTTTTTGATATATTTGTTTTGTTTTAGTCAATTCTCTACCTTTCTATCAAATGAGCATTCACAATTGCTTTTTTTTCATCCCTTTCTCCTCATACCATCATACATTATCAATCTAGTATTATCTATCTACCTACCTCTAGATATATGTTGGTAATGATGGTGTTGACTTCCTCTGAGCCCTGATCACCCATGGAACTCAACAGCTCACAGAATTTGGTCGCGACTGAGCTGACTTCAGCAGACAGAATGCTAGCTAACCTGCAGGGACAACATAAGAAATAAAGAAAGTCATCTACATGGTTTCAGATCAATCATTAGAATGCTAGCTCACGTTGAGTGGCAACAAAAGAGGGTAGGGGATACATAATAAAATTAGCTATCAGATATGAATTTCTGAATGTCGGTAAAGTGAAATAAGTGACAGATTGAACCAAAAAACAAAAACAGTCAAAGGTCTCATATATATTTGCTGACTTTAGGAAGTGCCCAATTTCTCTTAGCTACATTAGGAGTATATCCTGTCTAATACTAAATAGTAAAGATTCTTCAGCTCACAGGACCTTGTAACTTTGCTAGAACCAGACTAATTTCAATCTACTCATGACCATGTTCATGATGAAATATCTATATTTTCATATTTCATATGATACTTTATTTTTATGTAATTACACTTACAAAAATTATATATTTTGCTAACATCTGAACAGTCTAAAATACATTTATACATACACCTAATATCATGTCTCAGCTTACTTAGATAGGGTGGTAGCTCTTTCCACTGGACTCTTTGCCTTTGCCTGCTCTGTCTCCTGACCTAGCAGCATGAGTTCTGCTACCTTATGGAACTGCTCAATGGTCCTAGCTGTGAGCTCTGCAAGGGTCTGCATGGCCTTGGCATGAACTTCCTGATCATCAAAACAAAAGAAGTGAAGCTGTCTCCATTTAAAATTGTTTATTTCTGTATTTTAACCAACATCTTCAAAATAGACAAGCTATCTCCAAAAGGAAAACTAGAACATAGATTATGTATGAATATGGAAAGCAAAATCCATAATTGCATTATTTATTCTTCATTTTTTTTTCTTAATTTCCAAATTGAGATAAAATTAAGACAATACAGAATCTTTGATCACTTGACCAGGAGATTTGGTGATATTCACTTTCATTACTTTTTAGAGCAAATTGAATTTTAAAAGTCCTGAATGATTCTCCTGGTCTTATTTTCAACCAATATATGTAATCAGTGTTACTTACACATTTAAAATTAAAACAATACTTTTGCAAAACATCATGTAAAAAAGGTAAAGCTCAACTATGATTAAAATATAGCTTCACAGAACACTTAGAGAAAGTAAAAATGGTAGAAACCAATCAAGTAAACTCAAATCTAGAACAATATCTTGACAAGAAAGATGCCCTTATTTACCTTGATATCTGCCTTGTCCTTATCTTCCTCGTCACCATCTCCCTTCAGCTGGGTTATATGATTCGCTAACCAGTCTCTGGTCTCCTTCTGCACCTGCATGTCCAACAACAAAAAATGAAAATGATTTTTGAATCTGACAATGACACCAAGCATCTCTAGTTCATATCATTCAGGATCATGTCCCATCTGTAAGAGCAAGATGTAAAATGGAGGTCCCATGTATAAATTATCATATCAAGCTAATAAATATGTAACTTAAAGACCGTCAATACTACTGGGCCAGAAGGGATTAGACCACTAAGCGAGGTCACTAGCAGGTGGCTATCTCATTAACTCAGCTCTCAACTAACATAAGAAAAAGAGGATCATGGGGGACCAACAGGCACCGATTGGGGAAGTTTTCTATATAGAGGGAGCAAGTAGCTACAAGTAGGACAGTGGGGCTTTAATACTAAGAAAAGTCAAAGTTTTGTAATTTGTTGTCATAGTGCCCATATCTTTAATTTTATTGCAAGTAAAAAGAATCCATGAAATCAGTAAGGACCTGTAAATAGATACATATGTAGACACATGTTTTACTTCTTTTTCATTTTCTCTCTATTATCCCTCTCTCATTTTCTCTCTACCACCCCCCCCCTCTCTCTCTCTCTCTCTCTCTCTTTCTCTCTCCCTCTCTCTCTCTCTCTCATTCTCTCTCTCTCTCATTCTTGCTCTCTCATAACTTTCATCACTTAAACACAAAAGTGATGTTCTATGCTGTTGAACAAATACCAATAGGCCAGCCGAGCAACTACTTATATTAAATGTAGTTCTATAATATCTGGTAGCATTAATGATAATCTATCTCATATATCAAAATCATATCTTACCCTCTGTAACTTGTTTGGAGTGGCAGCCACACTCAGACTGAACAGCAACTCAGTGATAACATTCACAAAGTCCTGATCACTAGCAGTATCTAAGTAGGGAAATGAACATTTATCAAAGCTGTTATGTGGGAGGAAAATAATAGATATAAGGATTCTTTAAAGAACTCAACATTATTTCAACCAACACATAAGATGAAGCCAAGCAGCAGGACATTACCTTCTGTCATCGTTGCTCCCCCTCCCAAACTAATCTCTTTTCCTCTTCTAACCTCATCTCTTTTTCTCTCCCTTTATTCAAAAAGGTTTCCTGAAGTATCAGAAAATCCTGATATTACATTTACATATCATATTATTGTGTTAGCATATCTTTTTACTCTGCATCCAAAAGAAGAAACTCAAAGAAAAATGATATTCAATGAGCATGAAATCCACTCAGGGATTTGAACCCCAAACTCTCCTACATCCAGGTATCTTCCTGGTTCACACTGACGCACCTTCATCGACTGCATCCAGGTCTTCCAGCTGGAATGCATCCCTCACCTCCAGGAGCTCCGTCTTCAGCTCATCTAGTTTCTCATCCGTTACTATGGAGATAGATGACTGGACCTTGGTCTCGCTCTGATTACATAGCATCTCAAGGGCTTCTAGATGAGCTAGACCTGAGTGGGCAGTAATGGTAGCAAGACATCCATACACTTCAATGGATAGGACTACAGTGTCTCACAACAACAACATCAACAACAGCTCATGCCTTTGGTATATTATGCAAGGCTTCAGAATATTAAGTTTTCAGTGCACAAAGAGCCTAATTTGTTTAGTTAAGACCCCAAGAAGAGGAAAAAATGGAGCCCTATATCATAGTGCTACAGATTCAAGATGTGGTTAGTTTCATGATTCTACAGTTTCTATTATTCAATGATATTGTAATTCATGGGTAGAAAATGTTTTTTAAGGACTACAGATTCTTCTTTCTAAGAATTTTTAACATGATATATAAAATCTAACAAAATAAAAAAGGTTAAAAGCACCTACAGTTCATGGCAATATATAGCAAAATAATCTCAGTAGGCAAATTGCTTGATCAACAGCAATACAGATTGCTCATAACAAACGTTTAAAAGCGCAATCCAACCCTTCTTATAAGTTTGTTTGTATGACAGTAGAAGCATAAGATAAACAGAATGGCAAAGTTTAAACAAAATTAGACCACTGATAAGAAAGTTTGCTATCAGAGTTGGACTTCCCTATAAAGAATTGCTTGAAATGTTGGATACTCATAAATTACTCACTTTTAAAGTCACCCTACAACAAAACATACACAAGAATTCATCTGATCAGTATTCACCAATGCTCAACGTTTACTTTAGTTTTGACCCATCACTTTAGAGTAAAATATGAAAAATGAATAATAACACAATTTTAATCTTTCTATCCTTCCAAATTAACATCTATATAACAAACATCGTAATGTCTTTATTGCTTACAAACCTTGATATTGATCAAAGAGGAAACTATAGTTGTACTTCTGATGTTCTTCTTCCTCCTGTCTTCTAGTAGCCTCTTCGTCTGCATCTTTCTTGGCTTGTTTTAAAACCTACAACAAAACACAAGTGATTGATGGTACCTGAAGCTGTTCAGCTGGATTGCAGTCAAACACATTACCATGACCTGAAAATTACCAAAGCATACTTTGGCTTGTCTAAGCGCTATAGAGATTTAAAAACCATAATAGATCCCCCCCCCCCCCCCAAGTTAGAAATTATGTCCACTGTATGAAACAACATAAAGTAAGTCAGACAAAACTCTCAATTCAGATCATTATTCACCGAGCTTAGGAAAAAAATCTATACAAAATTTTGAATGTATCAGATTCTATCAAAGGAGTAAGTTTTGACCTTCAATAGTTTGATAAACACAGCATGGAAAAGGTAGTTCTTTTAATCATGAGTGCAACCATGTCTCTGAATGTATAGCAATATGTTGATAAGCGCTTTATAATTAACATTTTTATTATTATTATTGTTATTAATATCTTTTACTTACATCAGATAGGTTGGTTTTATCTCTCTTAGGGATAACCATTCCTTTCTTCTTCTCCAACCTTGGGTCACCTTCTTGTAGGATGTCCATTGTCTTACGACCAAGCATCTCCAGGGCATCAAGACCACCGGTCACCTATGGTCAAACAAACAAGATATTTTGTACTTCTATTCACCAAAGTCAAACTAAGGTTCATTTGATTATTTTAATAACAATTAAATTAGTTTACAAACCAGCATTCTGCTCTACTATTGACACAAATTTCCTATCAATTCCTAGAACATACTCATGTGAAAAAAAGTTATTATGTCTTCATCCCTGAAGCACCACATTTTCACTAATGATACTGACATACAAAAAAATATAACTACCGGTAATAAAATGGAAGCCTCTATGTTAGTACGACCAGTTTGTATAGGCCCATTTCAATGCAAAAAGCAAATGTGTGTTATATAACATATAATATCTTGAATGACCGACTCTCTATTGTAGTTGTTTTTAAACACTTTCCTAGGAATGGTCTTTGCATCAAGTAGAATATTGGTTTGTATAAATGTGCCAACACATAAAGCTATAGTCGTTCTTAAATCCTTTTAGGCAATCCTTTTATTTGAAATAAAAACAAACAAGGGATAAGTAACCCAAAATGTCCATGAATTTTCTTTAAATGGCCTACCTTGTACTTCATTCCCCAAATTAATTAATTTTTTAACATTAAAGAAAATAATTTACTTAGAAATCATAAAAATGTATTTACTGAGAAAACATTATTCTGTATTTTAAGTTATATGACATAAGAATATCTTACTGTCTTGCCCATGGCACTGGTGAAGACTGATGCACCAGATGAGAAGAAACCACCGATCCCAGCTCCTGCTTTCTCCTTCTCTTCTTTCTCTTCTTTTTCTTCTTTCTCTTCTTTCTCTTTACCCTCACTCTCATCCTGCCGAGAGTCTCCCTCTGTAGAGTAGAAAATATACATGAATCATTGCACTGATATCTAGAATATTCAAGATTTTTCGAGAATGCTTGTAGGGAGATAATTCAAAACAAGTGTCATTAATGGTTTGAGAATTATAGGAAGCATACTTTCCGGACAATTTTCAGTTTCACTTTCAATCATATCCAATTTGGATCAAATTACAAGATTATATTTTCAAGATGTGTATACCTTTCTAGAGACAGTTCTGTATTCAACATGGGCAAGATAAATAATTTGGTAACTTTGAGGATCTAATTTGTTTGTAAATTGTAGGTATTATATCATCATCAAAAATTTATTTGCATGCTATCGTGACAAAATATATTTGCAAAACATTAGCACAAGAGAATTTCAAGAAGCACATGGTACATTTTAAAGGACAGAGGTGCATCTTTTTCTAGATACAAATCCATACCACAGGTTCGATGATAGAAGTATACCTTGTGTTTCTTGGTCGCCTTCCTTTGGTTGAGATGACTGTTCTTCTTTCTCTTTGGCCTTTTTCTCTGCTTCCTGTTTCTCAATCTCTCTCAGTTCCTCTGGCTTTAGTACACCCAGCGATGTCTCCACGTTCTCCAAGACATGGGTAAGACCCTTTCCTAAAGTTATCCAGATAGATTGATTGGCGTAAGGAATTATTATCCATCCATTATCCCATTTGTTTTTTCTGTATCTTGCAAGCATTCTATTTCAATTAGTTTTGTCTACACTTGAGCAGTAGCTATGGAAACTAGTAAAAGAATAACAGAAATCTTCTATTTATCAATCAAAGTAATTTCCCTCATATTGACAAGAAATATACTTGTCTTTCAGGTTATGATCAACGGGTGAATCATCAATTACTCATTTTGATTGAAAATCAAGAACTGTCTCAAAAATTTTAATAGAATATTACTTTTTTTTCTCCAAACTTTGATAGTAAAGCCTTTATCTAAGAAAAATAGGAAGTAAAGTCAATCTTCTGTCAATGAAAATATGTCAATCCAACTCACCAACATTATCTGAAACCTTGGTGACTGTTGCTGCCGCAGACGACAGGAGGGATGTTCCCCATCCGCCCCACCCCCAAGAACCACCACCTGATGCTGGTGCAGCAGAGGCATTCTGTGGGGCACCACCAGCTTTAGCATTGCTCTCTGTGTCCTCTGTCTCTGTCACAGGGGCTCCTCTGTTCACAATCTCTTCTCCTTCTGGCTCCTCCTGTTCTTTCTCATCTCCTGGGGTTCCTTCTGCTTCATTTCCATCATCAGTTTGCACCATGTCCTTTACATCTCCTGCTTTATCCGATGCAGCAGTTCTTTCAGTTTTGTTGACACTGCCCTCTGTATGTTCACCACTATTCTCATCGTCTTGTTTCCCGCCATCCGTTTCTTCCATCTCATCTTCGGCTTTAGTTCTTGATTCATCCACAGACCCTTCTGTTCTGGAGCTCTTAGCAGCTGCATCATCTTGAGCAGAGTGTTCAGTTGTACTTTCATGATCCTGTGGTTGAGATGAATCTGATTCAGCAGTATCTTTCTCCTCGTTGGTGACTTTCTCCTCGGTGACTTCCTCAACTACCTCCCCCTCGTCACCTTCATCTGCACTTTCAAATGTAACCTCAGCCTCGCTGTCAGAATCAGCCATGGTGAGGTTGCTTCAGCTTAGCTCAACTCAGCTAACAATGACACAGAAATACAAAGAAAAACAAAACATTTGTTAATCTTAAAAAATCCTAAATCCCCTCCTTCCCATTTTTAGGTCACCTGCTTTCATATTTGGAAATAATGTTGGGTGACACTGTTGTGATTCAAGATCAAAACAAGAAAGTTGTGCCTTTTTTTCTTCTTGCAAAATGGTGGGATACTAGGCACACCCCCCCCCCCCCCCCCCCTCATTGGCTTAGTTTGATGTTTGCATGGGATCAAAACAAGCAAATCTAGGCCTTTTCAAAGCATTTAGATTTGCATTCCATAATATATTTATTATTGTTGTTCATTATCAATTATCATCATTAAAATGGTTTTGATCCTCTTCTCCCTCCAATGCCCAATGGCCTCCATCTCCTCCTCTGTCTTCTTGTTATCATTTCACTTCTTCTTCTCCTTCACCTCCTCTACCTTCTCCCCCTCCTTCTCCTGCTCCCCCTACTATCCAGATTTCAAAGACCAGCTAACTAGTGCCTAATAATAAGATAACAGAAATTACAACATATGGGACTGTGCGAATCTTACAGCCGGTAGAAAATCGCAATAAAATTAAGGTCATATTATAAAAACAGCACCACACACTTTACTAACCAATGCAAATTGCACTTTTGGTGATACAGACATGATAGGATTCAATATATTTACCAAAATTGTCAGAATGAACCCTTTCCACAGCAAAATACACGCATTGATATATTATCACGTAGGCCTACTACACAATATGTCGTGTTTACGTACACGTCATAACTCTCATCGTGTTCATCACTAGTGGTAGATTCGAGGGGGGGGGGGGGGGGGGGGTTAACAATTTCTGCAAATATTTAACATGTATCGTCCCTCCCCCTTCCTGAATCGCCTACTGTTATTCTTTGTCGTAGAAATGCAAGAATTAATCAAAATAATTTTGTAATGCCTAATTCGATCGATCGAGGTCAATTTTCATTGTTTCTGTCTTAATTTATAGAAACTGGACCTAGTCTAGGCCTATACTAGCTTGCAGCCTTTCATACATTAATGTGTATGTGTAAGAAAATTAAATGAACTTAAACGGTAGAAGTCCAGCAAAAATAGGCGCCCTTCCCCAGTGGCAGATCCAGGGGCCAGGGGGCGCCTGGGGGAAAAAACATGTAAAAACTCGTTAATTTTACCCTTCTTTTTAGATCCCCCTCCCCCTGGCGCTCAAGGGGGGTGCGAATAAAAAAAAAAAAATTAGTGCTCGCAACCCCCCCCCCCCCCCCTCCCCACTGAGCGAAATATTGGCCGGCACGATTTTCAAATTTCAGCACAAAGAAATCCTGGATCCGCGCCTGCCCTAATTCCCTTCCCGTGTGGAGTAAACGACAAAGCTGAAGAGAAAAAAAAGAAGAAAAAGAAATTCCTTTTATATCATTTCCTCAAATTCCTTTCAATTTTTCTTTAATTTTCATCGATTTCCTTGATTTTCCTTGAAACAATTTGGGCACTTTGAGTCCTTACTTTTTCCTTGAATAATTAAGTTCTCATTCCTCTACATCCTTGGATCCTGTGGATACGAAGCGCTGCTCAACAGGCTCTTGCGAATTATAGGTTGACCAAATTATATGCAGAAGTCTATTAATCAGAGCGCCATCTATACCTGACGGATTGCATTCAATCATCATAAATTATAAGACGAGGGGGGGGGGGGGGGGAATAATTTAAAACAAAACCATGCATTTGAAGTGAAATTTAATGCAGGCCTATACCTCCTCTGAATTTCTCACGGGAAGTTGAAGGGTTCGGATTGAGCAATGTAATAATGTATTTTTTCCCTATGGTGTTGGGGGTTGCCGGGGAATCGAGGGTTAATTCAAGACCATTAAATTGCCTTTATGGGGTTCCAATCAAAATTAGATTTGTGGAGGGCATCAACAACAATGTAAAATTCATTACTTTAAAGTCTACCTTGCCCCAAACTTGAAGATTTCATAATCATAATATATGAAAATCATATCCAAATATTGAATTTAGCTCGATATACAACAATTTTCTTTGCCCTGTTAAATTTATTTTCTATAGATGGCGGTCATCATGATTATATTCTTAAAAATGAATTCAATATTACCTCTCATTCACTACATACAAAAATCATCCTAATGCAGATAGACGTTTGGAAACTTCATTATGAGCCCGTTAAGCGAGTCGCCCCCCCCCCCCCCCCCATACCTGTGATTTCCCCTAGAAAATATATTTGATAAAAATCATTTTTGTACGCCAAAAAAAAGTCAGTACCTTTACTAAATAAGTAAAGTATTAACCAAGATATATGTACTTGATGTAGATTTGTCAAAAGATTTCCCGATTTGTTTTTAATGTCACGCGAGTCAAGCTGGAATGGCTGTGAACACTGACTTATCGCATATTGAACGGATTTGTTTGAATAGTGATTTGTAAATCAGCATTGAAGGATTATGGTTGATAATAGTGAGGACATTCGTTTTAGGCAAATAGATCAGTTTGACCATATATGATATGTAATTAGTTATCCAGTTCAAGATTAAGAAGTGGAAGAAGAATCCGAGAGGAGAAATAGAAGAAGTTAAAAAAAAATGAAAAGCATAAGAAAAGAAAGAAGAAATATCTTCTTTTTTAAACGGGATCCGTCATGCCCGTGGCCCCCCTCTGAATCTTCTAATGGAATTATGCATGCAGAAACAGCTGTTGACAAAAATGGAATATGAAATAAATAATTTACAACATTTCTGAATGCCATATAACCTTTAATGTGGATCCGGGATTTTGTTATTGGAGTTGGTGATAATTTAAAAATCGCACAACTTGTCAAGTTTAATTCTTTGCAAAACATCCCCGGGGATGGTGGGGGAGATTACGCCTATTATAGGCTAGTAAAATTTGTTATAATGCATAACAGGATGATAGGCCGAAACGCAGCAGGGTGGATGTAAGAGGGGGTATTCCTGCAACCGTAACGCGTGGAATATTTGACCCCCCCCCTCAACTTGTTATAATTACAATTTTTTAAAAAGGGAAGGAAATTGATGGATGAGACAACGAATGTATACGCCCATAATGTCTACAGGACGGGAGGGGGTCCCAGTTCACTCAGAAATATTTCTTTTTAGATTTAGAATTGAAATTCAGTCAAGTCAAGGGCACCAACAACTCAGCTGGCCCAGACAGCAATGTATCCGTGATCCAATCATTGCTTGTATAAATATTAACCTGCCTTTACCATTACTTTTATTTATAGAAATGTTCCTAACTTTTAAGTGAGAAACATGAATAAATAAGAACTGTAGTCTGTACACTCAGTAAGCTCAGAAAAAAAAACCTACCCATTTGTAATTACGCAGTAGTAGATGTTTTGTCAAGAAAACGATTCCTGTCCTGCTACCTCTATTATATCTATAACGCTTACACAGCAACGATAGGTTATCAAAATAGACGTTGTACGACTGCTCATGTATATTTACTTTGCTTTTGATCTCAAAACTCTGTTCCAGTTCTCAATACTATTTGATTTATTTTATTTCTTTATTAAATGGTTTGTTTTATTAAAACTCATCTCGCAGCCCGAAGGCTGAATTGTGTGATTTTTTACAAATTGATAAAAACATTACAATACAATAAATACATGTGAAATCAGACATTACATGATATAAATTAAAAATTTGTTCAAGTTGATAGTAAAGATATGAACATGCTGTAAAGAGAAAATGAGCGAGATTATTACAGTGTTATATACTATCAGGCGCGTACGCAGGATTTTTTCAAGGGGGGGGGGGGGGGGGGTTAACATTTCGCAACGACTCAGCCAGCCGCTGAATAAGCCGGGGGGGGGGGGTCTCGAAATTTGAAAAATTGACATTTTGCTCCGTTGGGGGGGGGGGGGGGGGTAAGGTCAGCTTTTTTAGGTCAGCCATGGGAATATTTTTTTTTTTTTTTAAATAAAAAAAAATAAAAAAGGGGGGGTTGGGGGGGGTTGAGGGGGGATTACACACAGAGAAAAATTCCCAAAGGGGGAGGGGTTTAACCCCCCAAACCCCCCCCCCCCCCCTGTGTACGCGCCTGTATACTATTGAGAAAGAGAGTGTATAGAGGTGACCGTATATTTTACATTTCGTTTAGCATTACAAGAGTGACATAACAGACAGACTGATTTACATGATAACAAGAATATGAATATTGGGTACAACAAAGGGCTTTGTTCTTGAACAATATTTATTTGATAACATTTTCAATTTTCTTGGGGTTTTTGAAGAAAAAAAATTGCTTTTTATTCTGTTTAGTAAATTTGTTTCTAATTATGTAAATTATTTGTAAATATTGTGATTTCTGTTGATTTTCCAATAAAAATATAAATATAATTTAAAAAACAAAAAACAAACTCAAGTGCACCAAGGTATATACAGGCGGGAATGAAAGCGAACTTCATTATTTGCATAGCCAGCTGACTTTAATATTATATATTCCAATGGAAATGATTGTGTTTTTTTTTAATTAAAACATAAAGTAAGAAGAAGAGAAACAAATAGTGGCAAGTACAGGTTTAAGGTACAATTATGATTACATGTGCTTTGAAGATCATAATCTAAAACAATAACTTTATTAGCCGAATTTTAAATCCATCTTTTTGTACACTGACAACATTCCTCACTTGCACATAAATTCATATAGCTTTTGTTGTAGGCCTATGCGTTAATGATTTCATCCAATGAACTAATATCAGGATGGATTAACAATAAGAGTATATCTTGAATGATTCTGCACACACTTATCCCAATCATGCACACCTCACAACTTTACACAATCTCCGACCTTCGTAATAGCATACGCCCAAGATAATTATCTATAGCGTATATATGATCAACAATTCGGAACTACACCAGCTTCTCCCGCCCCCCCCCCCCCCCCCTCCCCCAAAAGCATAGCATAATCAAAGCTAAAATTATTCATAATTATTGGCTGTCAATCTTGTTTTTGTCACAACAAAACAGATTAACTAACATTCGTAAAGGACTTTGAATCGATGTTTATTGCACGACCCCCTCTCTCCCACCATTGAACGATTTTGCGTGGATACGCCCATTATGCTGAGCATTAAGACATTCTTATCTCGACAGATAGCTGTAATTGATTTGGAAACCTGCTGAGGAAGTATATAATATATGCTTTATTTGATCTAGCTGGAGTGTACTGTCGAAAGCTGCATGTGTCTTCGCTAAGATCGTTATTATTATTTTATTTGTTGTTACATTTTGTCAAAATTCAACGATGGCTGAGGATCCGAGTACATCCCTAGAAGCAGTCGATATCGTGATCATTGTTCTCCATTTCGTCATCGTTTTCTCCGTCGGATTGTTTGTAAGTCAGAAAGATCTTTCTTTTATTACGTGACTTGTTTTCGCATCACTCCAATCTACAAATCTATCAACTTCATTTATTCATATACACCCAGGCACTGTCTAAATATTTGACAGCGTTACAGAACTTGCAGAAAAGAAGGCTAGAGCAAATTCATAAATTATGTCAGCGAATTTGTAGAAATGAGTTTCCATTTCTTATTTGCCCAAAGCTATACTTTAGAAGAAACACTCCGTTGCAGCTATTTAGATGAATGTGTGTCTTGCTGTGTATTAACAACAATCAAGAAAATCGTGACAGTTTTATATATACGGGTACCAAATAATATAACGCAGACAGACAACGTTTGGTATTTTATTCATGATGTTCTTTGGGACAATTGAATTTTTCTGTCGTAGCATTTGCAAAAGAGTTGATATCTTGTGTATCTTTGAGAATTGAAGTTGCTGATGTATTGTTATTGAAATAGTTTTGATGACAAAAGAGCCATTAATAATGTATACAAAACAGGACTGTAGTTTTGCAACGAAAACACACTTAGATAAATGTTATGCGTCTCTTTACTTTCTAGTCCTTTTCTTTTCGTAATCTATAATCGCAAAAGACACGTTAAATATGAATTTTCAATGTACTCTGTTTGATTTTTTACAATATCTTTCGAGTTGCTGTTATAACAGTCTTTTACCCTGACAGCTTGGAAATATGATAATAAAGTTCAAAATTCAGTAGCTTGCAAAATTATGTTTGGCTATAAGGCTTCGGATAGGCGGGTCGAGGATGGAGGTGGAGGTAGAGGCAACTGCCCCCCCCCCCCCCCCCCCCCCCCCCCTCCCTGCAAAAGAATCACGGATTCACCACTGGTGTGATCAGATGGACAACCAAGAACAGGCCGCACTTATTATATCATGACATATACACGACTTGTAGCCTACCTCGGTCTTTTCAAGGGCTTACCAATGACCGGTCAATCATAAGGAGGCTCCCCTCCAGTGTAAATACTGAAAATGAAATGTTAATAAATATCTTATCTCGCCCTTTTGTTATAGAATAAACATTGTGTATTACGTATACATTGGTGTCATATTCTTCAGCACAACTTCGTGTGTGAAAATAATCTGCATGTATTTTATAGTTTTTTTTAAAATACTTTACGCTTCTTCGTTTCCCTAAGAATTTCTTTGTTCAACACAATTCCGCTATTCATGCTTTGTTGCTTAGCAACACAATAATTTTAATGCCTATTTTGGTTTCTTGTTTGGAAAAGAAACAACATTGTGTGAATATGGTCTGCACTTTGTTACTTTTTCCCCACCATTAAGGCTTGTTGTATGCCTAACCTAATTTCATTATAATCCCTTTTTTTGGTCCAACCCGACTGCGCAATAATCATGCCAAGATGCTTGGTAACAAAATTACGTTGAATGCATATTTTGGTATTCTCTATTTGGAAGAAGGATCGCGTAGCACTGAGTGTTACTCTAATGTGTGTCTAGAAATTTAAAATAGATAGATAGATCGATGGGTAAAGGTCATACGTAGGAACCAAGAGTATATGTCAATATTGATCGACCGAGATTTAGGCGTTCAACAAGATCACTAAAGCTTAATTAACAAGAAGTCTTCTCAGGGGGTATCTCAATAAATTGTTTAGTCACAGACTTTTAATTATCAGATGATAAATAACAAGACTAGGGTGTATCATGGTGACCGGCATCTCTATATCAAGTAGACAATTGTTGATTACTCAATGCACTATCAAGCGGCCCTTGGCCTATAGATTGAAACCTTCGATAACAAATGCTTCATAACAAAACTGGGAGGTACAGAGAGAATAATGTTCACATGGGTTCATTGACGTATGGCCCTTAATGAAACGATATATTACTGAACTGTTATCATGATATAATCATAGATATATAGACCCATGTGAAAACCTCCATTGCATTATCGTTACCTATACCCTAAGGAAATACGTCTTTATACAGGAAAATGGAAAACCATACAATATTATAAACCTGTCCCGTTAAAATTATGGATATCTTAGTTTTTAAATCTGTTAAAAACGATGAGTTTAGTTTAAGAACCCAACAATTAGATATTGGATCTGGAAGATATTTCAAAGACATTGGGAAAATTAAAAAAAAAATTAAACATAAAATTGGATTCCTTCAACAAAGGAAGATAGTCTGAGGTCTAAATCTTCCATTGTCAAAGTTTTTATCTTAGATACAGGGTCAGCTTAAAATGAATTAATAGAATACGGCCCTAAGATATGTAAGCGTTTTATATTCTGTGAAATAGAGTAGTCAATATAAGTAGAAGACAATAATAATTTGAATTTAATCACACAGACCAGGATGTTCTTATCCCAGTAATAAGTTCATAAGCATAGCAAATGTGTGCACCATCTCCAGTACAAGGAGAATTACGCATGGCACTGTTAATTATGTATACATGAATGATAAACTATTCAATGTGTAGATGAGGCTAGACTGGATCAGAAGGTAAAACTTCAATTCAGTTTTCCAGCTTTTGTGTCATTTTACAATAGACCTGTTTTTATTTCAATTTATGGATGTTTTACTTTCTATAACCCATGGTTACCAGTCATTTTATTCATCCGCTATAAAATGATGGCATATTATATGGATAGAATCCACTTTGCATACACTAGTTGTTGTTATGTCGGACACTCCTCTATCAAGCTTTTTAGTTTTCAAGAGAAACCTCTGTTCAAAAATTTTGCATGAAATTAGTTAACGGGTCTATTGATAACTCCGATGAGTATAGCTTTTCAATTTCTGGTAATTTATATAACATGTAATTCCTTCTGATTGTTATATTCAGGTATCATGGCGCTCAGGCAACAAGAACACGACCAGTGGGTACTTTTTAGCAGGGAGAGATATGTCATGGTGGCTGGTGAGCTCTAGTGTTATGATTTAAAATAAATGAAATAAAATACGACAAACAGAAAATCGTGACAAGCTTTTTTGTATTCCCTCATTATTTTGTTTTAGTTAAAGACAATGCTGCTGATATAACGCCTAATTATTATCGAAAATCAGAAACAGATGATGATATTAGAATTTTCTTCGGGTTTGAAGTGTTGTAATCATTATTATTGTCAACTCTGCATGAGTCTATTTCCTAAAACTGTATGATAAGACATTTTGTTCAAAGTACATTATTAAAATTGCATAAAAATTCATAGGATATGGTATGGATATGTGGGAATGTGGACTGCGACAAATATATGCTTGTACTTTGAATAAAAAGTAAGCATACTAGCGATAGACGTTTCAAATAATATAATGCATTATAAGAAATCAGTAAATAGCTAATATCAAATTAAAATACATGAGTTGAATTGAACTGACTTGAAACGAACTGAATTAAATTTGAATGAATTGAACTGATTTAAATTAAATATGATGCTTTTTACTTAATCCAGGTTGGTTTATCGTTGTACGTGAGTAACATTGGTAGCAGTTCATTTATTGGTTTGGCTAGTTCAGCAGCAGCATCGGGGTATGCCGTCATAGCATATGAGTTTCATGTAAGTCTACCCTTTCTTCACTAGTATTTAAAGAAGCCTTGATTGAAATGTTCCCAACCAACCGTGATCAAGACGTCTTTTGAGATGTTTGTTCAAAGGGTATTTTGCCTCATCGATTTTTGATAAAGAGATAGTGGAACATTGATGCTACAGGGGACAAATCAAATCCGTCCTTTTCTCAAAATTGTGTTCAAATAAAATCTCTCTGTATGCCTTTCAAGACATTGTCGGGTTCTGGCTCTTAAAAGTATCCTATCGACCCTTAAACAATTTTGTCTTTAAATAGTCCTGATCATCAGATCATTGTATATTTTCATTTTCTCTAAGAAAAAGATGCATTTACGAACATTCATTCACATGGGGGGGGGGGGTCACTTGGCTACTGATCATAAATTATTAATGCTCTACTTAAAGCACTGGGATTAGGTCTAATAATCCTGAATTAAACGATAAAACTGAAATGGATTTCAAAGCTTATCAAACTAACCTACAAATTATATTGTAACATTTATTCTGCCACTTACCCCCCCCCCTCTCTCTCTCTCTCTCTCTCTCTCCCTCTCTCTCCTTCTCTCTCTCTCTCTCTCTCTCTCTCTCCTTATCTCCCTCCTCACTCTTTCTCTATGTTTATTATCTTCCTATAGGGTATATTTTGTCTCCTTCTGTTGGGATTTGTGTTTGTACCTGTCTACTTTTCATCTGGGGTAAGTAGATGCATGTCAAATATATTTCAAAAAAAATAACCGAACTTCAAATCAGTCACTTTCATTTATTAGTTTTTTGAAAAACTATAAATTAATTTTCAGTTATACGAGCATGGTAATTGACAATAACTCTAGGTAAATTGACAAATGAATGTACTGTACAATAAAATGTATCATTCGGATTAAATGTTGCTTAATGTAGATCCAGATAGCGGAAATTGTTTATCCATCCGAAATCCGCGATAATGCTTATCAAATGCAAATAAAATGTTATCCACAATGGCCGCAATGTATCATGATGAATAAGCATCTTGTTGAGATATGAGCCAATATAACCCACTGATGGACAAACAGATTTAGACCACTGATACATCAAATCTATTGTAATTCTGCATCTATTTATATGAATTACTAAAATATTCCGTGGTTTGTGACAATATTTTGATTTATTCTGATTTATATACAACCTTATATTAGTTACATGAATATAAATAATGCAGGAATTACAATAATCTTGTCAAATACGAAGTTAAACGCATATATCAAACAACTGTTTTATTCAATGTTTTGTTTTTACTGAAATTGAATGCATTATTTCTTCACTCAGATCACCACGGTACCAGAATATTTAAAGAAACGATTTGGAGGAGAGCGACTTCAAGTTGGCATCTCAGTGATCAATCTCTTCCTACTTGTTTTAGCATCGCTTTCGGTAAGAAAAGAAGGGGCGAATTTTACCCTTTATAAGGACAAGCTCAATAATATTTTTTGTAAGACACAGGCTCTATAGCTAATGGGAAAAATAAAGATAATCGGGCACTTTTTTCTTTAACATTTTCATTAGATATAAAAATGATATAGCCTATATCATATACAGCTGATTTAATCGAATTTATTGATATCATTTTTGGAGGGAAATTATGTGATACTTACTCGTACATAAATATTATAAAGGTAAATAATAATTCATTGTATTTATTCATAAAGTAGAATTTTGTTGATGGACTTTGTACTGCATCTGACTAAAAGAAAGGTTGATGTTTCCACTCGGAGTGTTTTCAATGTATCAATGTGTGGAAGTAATGCGAAGAAAAATCTAAATAAAAAAAATCTGTGTATCTATTATTCATATTATAACCACAGTTCTCAGTGACCAAGATTAGAATACCTAAAATATTATAATTCATGGTTTTGCTTTGTTACAGGCTGAGATGTATGCAGGTTCAATCATCATCAGAGAAGCATTAGGATGGAATATTTATCTCTCAACCATCGTCCTTCTTGCATTGACCGCTATCTATACAGTAGCAGGTGGATTAAAGGCTGTCATCGTCACCGATGCGCTCCAAACGGTTGTTATGGTTACCGGTGCATTTATTCTTATGGGTATTGGTAAGTACTATGATAGGATGAATAATATTCAAGTGACAGTAGCACTGGAGAAATCTTGTGAAGGGTTTGCCTGCTGCAAAGTTAGATATTGTTCACCGTTGATGACTTGTGTGGAAAAATAATGATGTCAGAAAGTGTGCGATGAAGGGAAATAATTGCGACAAAGAAGATTACAGTGAGGGTGATTTCAATGGTGGGGATATAATTGTTTTTATTATCCCAATCGACATGTTAGAAAAGTTGATTTAAGAGACTAGCCAAATGTATGTGTCTGTTCAAGGAGTAGATCCATGATTCTGTAAAAAAAAATATGAAAATCTCCATAGCAACTGCTTAATAACAACACTGGGAGGTAGAGAGAGAATAATGTTCACATGGGTTATTGGAAATGAAGTATGGCCCTTAATTGTTTCTCCTATTTTAGATGCCCTTTGGGGGGGGGGGTTGCATTCGAAAGGAGCACAAGAACACAATTCATTTTGTGTTATGGTATGCCAACTTCAAAATATATGACGTTGATCACACACAAGATACAGGATATCCTTTTTCGGTTTATTTTTCCCTCCCTCTTTTACAGCCATCAATGAAATCGGTGGATTAGATAACCTTCGACTCGACTACATGACCGCAATCCCAAACACCACAGCTAAATATGGAAACACGTCATGTGGTATCCCTACTAGTGATGCCTTTCATATCTTTAGAGATGCTAGTGCATCCAACCCCAACGATCTCCCGTGGCCTGGAGTGCTTATGGGTATCTTTCTGCTCTCTGCGTGGTACTTCTGCACAAACCAGGTATAACAATAAAAGAAATATAAACATTCCATAATCAGATTTTATTAGGAAGGACAAGAATACAATGACATTCAAACATGCAAACAAAACGGGGAATTTCATTTTTTAAATGTGAAGCTATGGCCTGCTGATTATCCGAGAAAAAAACACAAGGAAAGTTTATCGATTACGATAAACTTTCCTTGTTGACCAGTTGAATCTTGCACTTTTTACTCGAGCATGCGGAACCATTATTATTTCTATTAATGTGTTTTAAAATTATTTTCCCTTGATTAGCCTTTTCGATAGTAACAATAATCAGAAAACGAATGTCACATAACATCATGTCGAAATATGAAGTTTAGAATATTGGTGTCATTAACCTTCATCAAATGCCAACTTCTGATCCTGTTTCATCTCTGAATGTCTTGTTACCAGGTGATCGTTCAGAGAACCTTAGCTTCTACTAACCTATCTCATGCCAAGGCTGGTTGTATCTTAGCAGGATTCTGTAAAATCTTACCTTTCTTTCTCATGATCATACCCGGTATGATCAGCCGAGCTCTTTGGCCGGGTAAGACACTAAGTTTTTTTTTTATTTTTTTTATTTAACACATTCGGTTAACCTGAAACGTGTAAGAGGTGTTTTTATTTTTTATTTTGATTTTATTTCTGCATTTTTTCCAAATATAATAACTGAATAACATAGAACATATAATGTAAGGTATGATACAAAATTTACAAACAATAATAGGCCTACAGTATCTATAATTATAAATCATATTTAATGTACGGATTTTATGAGGCAGGAATGTTGATAATCGTTTGGCACTCTTTAAAATTACGTTTCTCTATTATTTTTATTATTTCATATCTCGTATATTCTTATTACTCAATTATCATTATATATTTTGACGATTTGAAATGAAAGAAATTTTTTCTAACTGCGGAGAGGGGCAATGTAAAATCAGTTAAACTCATGTACTGAGGGGGTGGGTGGGGTCCGAGTGTGACCAAAAGGAAAACACGGTTACATCGACGTCATATCATACAAATATGCATGTCAAACGAAATCAATGAAGTAAATGTAATTATTCATTAGCTTTATTCTTGTTATTGTTATTATTCCATTTCCATGGTAATAGATGAGGTTGGATGTGTAGACCCTGATGTGTGTGAGGAGATATGTGGTAATCCCAATGGATGCTCAAACATCGCCTACCCTCGGCTGCTTGTCTATCTCATGCCAGCTGGTAAGTTACATTCCTTCTCTTAATTAAGCATAATCATCAGGCTTAATGAGATATGACTGTGTGGTGTTGAAATAATTAATAACACCGTATTTAGTAATCAAAGAAATAATAATCAGCATAACATACTCTCCTTTATGTCTAATTGTTTTTAAAGAAGTAAATGGGTACCAGGTAGGAATCTATTCTTTGATGCTAGAGCGCCGTATGGCAGCCTTGCTAAAGCCAGTGTAATAATCGGGAGCGCCAGGAGGGTCAAATATGACTGACATGAGCGCTATACAAGAACCCATTATTATTATTATTATTATTATTATAAGAAAATAACAAAGGAATTTTAAAAAAATCATGAATATGAATTTATGCCAATTTTACCCAAAACAATGTCAGACAATTTATTTAGCCCTCTTTCTTGATTCCCGGCCGTTTTCTGTATAATTCTGTATTATTTATTAAGGGTATGTCATTGGCAGAGATAAAGCAATGATTAACCAGATTCTTTTCCATTGTTAACCATCAATTGAATTCTTTTGGTTTGATATCAAACAAATCAGTTCATTCTCTGTCAAGTGCTCTCAATCAGTTTTATCACTCATGGACTGCACAGAAGGAGTTCATAAGAATTTAAATGAACTTTGATCTCTCGTTATAGAATGGCTAGGTGCCGACTGGGCTGGCTTAAAGAAATAAGAACGGAATCATAATTATGATAATTAATTTGTACTTTGACCGAAAAATGGATCAGATTTTTTCTCTCCAAAAGTGGCGTGATGCTAGTTGCGTTATTTCGATTTCAATACAGTTGGCCCAAGGAGATCTCCCTGGTTAGCCTATGTATAATTCATTCTAAAGAGCTGATGTATCAAAGTTCTGCATATTAAGCAAAGTAAAAACATAACATTAATTCATAGCTTTCTTGGGGAACATCTAGGTTTCGTATATAGTCTTTCTATCAGTTTATAGATGTGACCTTCTTATTTTTACTTTGTCTCTTTATTTTTCTCTGTTTGATATTTTCTGTATTCTATCTCCCCTTTCTTTCTTTCTTTTGCTCTCTCTCTCTCTCTCTCTCTCCCTCTCCCCATCTCTCCCCCTCTCTCTCCCTCTCTCTCTCTCTCTCTCTCACATACACACACGCACACACACGCGCACACATTCTATCTCCTCCCCCTCTCACCCTATCCACTCCCCCTCTCTCCTACCCCTCTCTCTAGGTCTAAAGGGTCTAATGCTTGCTGCTATGTTAGCTGCTCTGATGAGTTCATTGACCTCTATATTTAACAGTGCAAGTTCTATGTTTGTGATTGATATTTGGCTTAAGATCAGACCTTCATCAACCGAGCTTGAACTTGTCATTGCTGGAAAGTAAGTTAATTTGAATATTGTTGTTGTTATTTAAAATAATTTTGTAATGTATTCGTTTAGAGTATCCATTTATTTGTATAATTATTATACTATTACGTAGTTCTGTGTTAAATTTGTGTTATTTTGTATTAAATGTGATATGTAGGGCTTCCTTGGAAAGCAGGCCATAAAATTTAAACTTTGGCTTGAATGGAACTACCCTACTGAAATAAAACTTAATAAATAAATAAGTAATTTTTTTCACATACTTTCTTTTTCTATGCGACATACCGGTACACTTTAGTGATATCTACAATAAATAACACATAAAAAAGATGTGTAGAATCTGCCCGAAGTTACAAAAATAGAGGAAACAGAAGTAACTATATACAGGTCTAAATCGTTGTTTTTATCTCTGCTTGTAATCCACTTCACAAAAAAGAAAGAATTTTAAGCATCTGACTATTCATTAATTAAATATAAAACAAACAAACAAATTATTAAACGAAATACTTTTTAGACATACCAAATACCGGTTTGGATTTTTACCGGAAGATATAAAAACTTGGAGGATATCCATACTGATTCTCATTTTGGTTGCCTTTTTCCCTCACCAAGTAAAGCGATAAATACATCAAATGACATTTAAACTAAATGGAGGACTAATATTTCTACAATGTGTTACAAGTGGCCTAAACCAATGATTTGTTGTTTCTCTTGCATCCTGGTAGATTCTGTACCTTAATCCTGGTAGTGGTCAGTGTACTTTGGCTCCCAGTCATTGAAGCGTTTGGTTCAGGGGAACTCTTCGTTTATATCCAGTCTATCTCATCATACTTCTCACCAACCATGTTTGCTCTCTATACGTCCGCCATCCTATCCGAGAGAATCAATGAACCAGTAAGTAAGCTTGAAACAAATAACAGATCGAAGAAAACGCTAACACATGTACGCATTATTTCTGGAGTTCCGAGCTGCAATAGGCCTGACTTATCGAGTTACAAGGACGCAGTATGTTGCTCCGTGAATGAATAGAGTAATATTGGAGGTTCCCAAAGCCTCGTGATTACTTTTATTTATCTTTGCATAAAAAGTGCACAAACAGATAGTTTGCTCCTTTGAGAAGTGGAGATGGTGCACATAATTGTGGACATTGAGTCCTATATACCTAAAGAGTTCCTGCCATTGTTGTGAGGTAGCACAAAGTAGATGACTGCATTTCACATTATCGTCACTATTAAAAGTTTTCACCTTAATCATGTAAACTTATTTTTGTTTTTTTGTTGTTGTTATTTGTTTACAAACAGGGAGCTTTCTACGGATTGATATGTGGTTTTATCATTGGATTGAGTCGAGCTATTTGTGACGTCATCTTTGGTGTTCCCGGGTGCGGACAAGTGGACGACCGACCCGCTATCGTAAAGAACTTTCATTACCTTCACTTTGCTTGTTTCCTCTACGCTGCTGCACTCTTCTTCACCATAGCAATCAGCCTCATCACCCAACCTATAGAATCTTCGAAGGTATGTACCATCTCACCATCATCTCCCGGTACCATTGAAGAGAGAGCTTAAGTGATAGACTGGGGATGGAGTGAGGAGGTGGAGGGGGGGGGGGGGGGCTGGAGATACACAACCAACTATTTTTTGTTTGGTTTTTTACTTGTTGCAATTATTCATATCACCTTTTGCACCTCTACGATGATTTCCCTCCCCTACCCTCCACCCCCATTAAACTATTCAAATCCTTGATCTACCGTTACCTTGTCTTAAACATACATTACGTCTCGAATGATTATCATGGTTGTTGCATTTCGTTTCATTTTTTACGATTTCTCATCTTCCTTCTTCAAACAGTTAATACGTCTCACGTGGTGGACGAAAGGTAATCAGTTACCAAGGAAACCGATGTCTGAGGAAGAAGAGAAGAAAGATATAGAGAACGAAGCCATCAAAGCTGAGAAGATGAAGGAATTAGCTCAAAGTAAGTTAATTCAGTTGCCGACAATTAATGAGGAGATGCATTGCAGTGGCGCTTTGGACATTTTTGGAAAATCCTTAATTTGAGCTCTAATGCCAATTATTCAAAACCGAAACAAAAATCAACACTAATACATTAAAATCAAAGCATGATAATATCATAATTTGAATAGTATGTTCTATAACTGATTTCGGGAAAAGTGGTAAACTTTTCAAAAATTGATAGGTCATCTTCGTCTAGTCATTGATAAAGGTACTTATAGTTACCAATGGCAGCACGCACACCGATGTTGTTGTGAAAGGTTATCGCTGCAGAATTTATTTTCTAGATGACGGGATACCTTCTTTGCAACATGTATCCAGCATGTTTGAAGAAGTGAAAACCAACAGTTAGTATAAAGTATAACCAAAGGAATGAATTTGAACGGATCTTAACGAAAGACATCACACCTGTATTTTCTTATTCTCACAGAGGCGGCAGCTAGGACGAGCTTCCTGGGTAAATCTTGGAATTTCTTATGCAACATCGACACAACTATCGATGAAAAACCACCGTTGTCGGAGAAAGAAAAGATGGAGTTGGACAAAAAACTGACATCGATCGAAGAAAATCCTCTAGTGAAGAAGATTGTGGCCTGGAACGGGGTTTTGTTGTTCGGTGTTGGTGTGTTCTTATTTGCATTCTATGGGTGATGCTTTGGCAGCTAGATCAGAATTCAGAAGGACTTAGTAATGTGGACCATAATGTGGCATGATCGGTCGTAATCAGAAATAAACTCTATCATAAGCCACCCCAACGTTTGTTAATAGCAGGACCCATGAGAGTGTCATATCAGAAAGTGATAATGTGCCTTTATGTCCAGCGCTAAAGATCTAGGCCATTTTCGAACAAAGAAACTAAATAATGTTTGAAATATTGAAACTGTTTTCTAGCAGTTTGGGTCATACTGCTGAGATGTGCTGCTTAAAATGATTGATTTGTTTTGTGATCTGGGTCCACCAAGTCAGAAGGAGGGGAGGGGAAGGGAGAATTAGAAAATGAAAGCAAATTCAACTGCACACTCAACGCCACTGAATGATACGGATGGAGTTATTTCAAAGAGAGGACAAAAAGAGATTTTCTAATACGCTCGACTGTAATCGAGTGTGCGCATTGGCCAAATATAATAAACACTGCAATGTTGAAAATACAATAATAGTTAACATAATAGTATGGGACAGTAAAGAACAATGGGGTAGAAAATTAAACCAAACCCATATCAAAGTAGGTTTGTGCTTGTTTCTGTATTCTCTTTCTTATACACGTAACGGGATGGTAACGCGTGAAAATAATTCGTCAATTTCGTCACCCTCCAGTTGTGCCGATTTAGATGGCGTCCTACTAATAAACTTAAATCACATGACAAATTAAAGCCACAAGCATGAGAGGAGGAAAGGGCAATGAAAATATTTTGGACTACAGCAGAAAGGCTCAGGGATGATAGTGAGCACTAAAAAAAAAAAAAAAAAAAAAAAAAAAAAAAAAAAAAAAAAATCGTTTTTTTTGTTTTCCCCTCAACCACGCCCCCCTTGAGTAAAAAAAAAAGAAAAAGAAGAGGATTCGCGGGGAAAAAATAGCATCTAACAGCATTCCCCGCTTTCGAGTAAGAAAATTGGGAAAAAATTAGGGCAAAATAGGGAAGAAGAGAGAAAATAAGGAGGAAATCGGGAAAATCAGGATAAAATCGGGAAGATTTTTTTTTAATGTTTTTAATCTGGAAGAAAGAAAAAAAAATCGGAAAAAATAAAATAAAATCAGGAAACCGATTTAAATCGGGTTTTTATCAGGCCCAAGGGCTATAATGAACGTGTATTTATGAATATCTTTTTAAGTCTCCACACCCTCACCTACCGTCTCTGTCTCCCCCCCCCCCCACCCCCACCCCCAAAGATCATACTCAATGAAACTATTCGCAAACTAATATATTTTGTCGTGGTAACAAAATCACTGTATATTCAATAATTTTCGAGTTATGACTTCATGTATACCTGAATTAATAAACTGACGTGCCAGGGTACATAGCAAGTCTACTGTTTGTTTTGTTATTCTCGTATTCCTTAGGTGTAGTTAGGGAACGATCCGTTATTGTCTCAGTGTATACCATACATCTTACTATATTCTTTTATGCAACATTTTTTACTACCAATTTTTTTAAAGAGTAAATTGAAAAGAAGCCTTTTCAATTCAGGTTTCTGCAGCTTTTTGTAAATTTGAACAAGGGTGAATATATCCCACTGTGCCTTCAGCCTCATTGTTAACATTACGCTGTTTTCACGAAGTGACGGTAGTGAAAAAAAATTGCATTCACTTTGCGTGACGATTTTCCTCACTACCGTCACTTCGTGAAAACAAGGACGAATTGAAGCATTACCAATAGTATGTACACACTATTTTATGTCACAGTATTAACGATACATACAAGATGTTGATATCGCCACAAGCAAAACAAGGAGTTGTCATAACTTTTACTTTTAACTAAATACCAATATTATCCCCATCGCCATCAGAATTATGATTCTAATTACCATCACCATCATTATTTTCATAATCACTTTTTAACATCATCCCAAGCCTTTGGACAACCATCATCACCACCACCATCACCATCATTTTTGTCATAACCACCATCATAACAATCTACATTCACCATCATCATTACAAGCCCCTTTTATCACTACCACTACCATCACCACCATTGTCATCATTACCACCATGATTTTTTTCATAACCACTATTCACCACCATCATCATAAAAACCATTGATCATCAGATTTAAAACACAATACATATATATTTAATTAATAATTGCAAACCAGACAAGGTAACTGAAGAGGCAGTCAGCTTTTATTATGTACACATTACTGTACATGGCTATTGTAAATAAATTTACACGTAAATGTAAAAAATTGTAATTGAAAATAAATTTCCACATTCATTGTTCATCATTTAAGCTATTGGAAGAACAAATTCAATTGTCAGATTTGAGTGTATTTTGCAAGGTTATCGTCATAGCAGGGTCATAACACTGTGTTCCAATTTTTAGCCATCTAAAAAATTGGAACAAGTGCATATACGGTAATGTTGTAATTGAGTTTTACTCTCTTCATAAATAATGCTCTTCTGATTTTTTTTTTCTCATAATTTTTTGTAGAATTTCATTTGATTTTTTTTTCTTCAATAAACAAAAACACAAAGGACATACACACAATTGGGGAACAGTCTATACATATTGGATACATGAGGAATCATTAGGTTGGAGGTCGACAAGGTGAAATACACTTTGAGAATATCTCACATGTTGATATTACAATTCCTAAAAATCTAGAGAAATCAAAAATATATCCATATGATCACTCATATGCTTATCCAGCTATAGCCCTGCTTTTAAATTAATGAGGTTTCTAAATATCATATAAAAGTATACATAACAAAAAAATTTACATATATTTACACATTTTATCCTACATTCCGACTAAAAGTGTTTCACAAAAGTAACAAGTATTTGTGCAAGGTTTCACTAAAGTATGTCTTAGGGAGAAATTTATTTAATCTGTCACTTTTAAAGACTAAGCAAACTAACTTGAGGCACACATAATCAGTAATAAATAAAGCTGCATGGCTTGTTAGTTAATCCATATCTAGTTAACACATCATATCAACAGGTTATGAAATCATAATGTGATTTCATAACACATTGAATATCGTACTCTCGTTTCACATCAAAAATCATTGCATGTTCACAATTTATTTGTTCCAGATTCTTAGTCAGAATGTTTGGAATCTTTCTTATATGTAAGATCGGAGACCTTCCGAAAATATATTTTTAGCTTTTTACAAAAGGGCCATGAAATTGCATACAAAGTTATGAAAACTTACGTCGCATTACACATTCTTTCACATCAAGGTCAACTAAAGAGCAGAACCAATGATCTTTGACCTTCCTTACCAGATGCATGATTTCATGGTCCATATTTCAAGGCTCTCAGATCTTACATACAAGATTTGCAATATTTCATGTCAAAGGTTAAACTTAACACAGCAGATGACCTTCAACACAAAATGTGAACTTTCTTCACATCAAAGGTCAATGACATAGAGCAGTAAGTTGATGACATTTAAAAGTGCAATGTTATGAATATTCCACATCAAAGGTCAAAAGCCTACAACATGTACAACGGGTCAATGACCTTTAATATGCAAGTTTAGGAAAATTTCATGTCGAAGGTCAAATACCTACTACACAAGGTAAATGCACTGATCTAAGATCCGCATGAAACGCAGGCATCCTTGTTTTCCAGAGAGCACATCATGGCTGCCTCGTTCTTAGCCCTCTCCTTCTCCTCAGCCTCCGTCAGCTTGGCTCCAGACTTTTCCTTCAAGCTCAGCTTATCCAGAGTGAACTTGATAGGATCGGCAGCTGGACGTGTGCGCAGGTAGTACATGCCAGTCTTCAAGCCCTGTAATGGTGCAGATCAAGAGATGACCAATAATAAATAACTATTTCCAAATGTTATATTCTGTCTTTATTCTGAGCAATTTGGTTAGGAAATAACACAGAATTTGCTACATTTTGTACAAATGAAATTACTATTTCACTACTATACAACAAAACCCTTTGCAATTTCCCCCAAAATGCATAAGACTACTGATTTTCCTATCTGGAGTCTAACTACAACAGTCGACTATGGAGGCAGGATGGAAGCAGCTTACGAAAATCATGGCAAACAATGGAAATTTTCACTTAACCCTATTTTAACTGGGCTATTTCAGACCAGGTTTTTACTGGGGGGGGGGGGGGGGGGGGGGTCAATTTGACCCCCCCTAAGATCTCGGCCGTGTCACCGCCGATCGCCGCGAAAATTCGCATGCATGTCAAGTGAAGTGTATAGAATACTATGGTAATTTCAAATTTTTGAAAAATTCACTCATTTGCATATTTATGGTAATTTATGCAAATAAGGTCATCAAATTCACATTTCTGCCCATAAATCATAGATTATTCATGTTTACGTATTCTTTTTCACTATATATATTTATTAGACCATTTGGAATAATAATACAACACAAAAAATTGGAAGAGCCAGGTTATTCCTTATGTTATCTCTTGTTTTTGTTGTTTTATTTCATTTATAACTACAATTCAACTATTTTGACCCCAAAACAAACATCTAAACTTTAAACAAGACTGAATAACCAATGTTTTATCTATTTTTAGGAAAAATGACTTTTACATATGTTTTGTACACAAATCACGAAAATGAGCGATTTTCGGGCTGACATGCAAAGACAAAAGGTCACGTGACCTTGTAACCGTAGGTCCGATTTTCAAAAAAAATCGTTTTAAAAGATGCGTAAGACTCGAAAGTAAAAAGTCATGAAAGGAAAATTTTATATCTGCCGCGGTTTCGGAGTAGTCGCGAAATTTCTACAGGGGGGGGTCAAATTGACCCCCCCCCCCAGTTAACGTAGGGTTAATTAACTATGTTTCAAATAAATGTTAAAAGCAATCCCTATAATGCAAATGATCAAGAAATGTTCTTCACACAAAGTCCCAAACAATTAAAAAAATCTGAGGCTGCAAGCCTTCAAGGATGAAATCATCTGTTTTCATACAACTGATGTTTGATTTACATGCTGAATACCAATGACCGACAAATTCACAAAAACTCACAGATTTCCAGGCGAAGAAGTGCATACTGGTGAGCTTGCCATAGTTTGGTTCAGCAATGTGAATGTTAAGTGATTGACTCTGATCAATGTATGCACCACGGTCTACAGCCATCTGAATGATGGTCTTCTGTGAGATCTCCCAAACGGTCTTATAGAGTGCCTTGATGTCATCAGGGATTGTTGGAATGTTCTAGAAGCAATGGAATGGTAAAGAAATAAACAAACATTTATTTTTAAGGGATTGACCTTGTTCTAAACACTGAGATCTCTTCAATTTGAGAGAATAATGAATTATTATTTCTTGAAACTATTCACAATTCAGTTGTCATGACTGTATTAAAGGAAAGATTGAAATAACAGTAAGAAAAAGTTTCTGCAAACTACAATGATTCAAGTTGTAAAACGAGGTCAAGAATTCTTATGGCAGGGTTTGGATTTAAAGATATAAATCATATCCTAATCTAGATACCACACTTATCTATATACACCGTCATTAAAGCAACAAAATAAAACAAGTAGCGATGAATATCAAAAACCAATAGGCAGTGCAATTTATTGTTCAATTATCTAAAGTACTACAATTTCTCTTCTCTATTTGTCTCTACAAATTTTTTCAAAACCATAGATATAACAGTTCAATAGAATAATTTGATGCAGAATATTGAAAAATATGAGTGAAGGGTATGACTATAGACACCTACCTGGATGGAGCCATTGTTAGCAATAAGATTGTTCTTCATTTCATCAGACCACAGACCCATATCAGTCAGGTCTCTTAGGAGATGATGATTGACCACCTGGAACTCTCCTGACAGCACACGGCGCGTGTAGATGTTACTCGTGTAAGGCTCGATGGCCTCATTGTTACCCAGGATCTGAGCGGTGGATGCGGTCGGCATGGGAGCAAGGAGGAGACTGTTTCGGACGCCGTGCTTGGCGATGTCAGCCTTGAGGGATGCCCAGTCGTGGAGGTCGGTAGGGGTCACACCCCACATGTCTTGCTGAAGGATCTGTAAGGGATAGTTACAGAAAGAGAGTAAGTTGTATGTTCAGGGCATGTATCAAGGAAATCTTTCTGATTGGACATGATTCTAATTCAATTTTCCTTCTTTTTAATTTTAACCCTGGTTGGGAGACTGTATTTAGAAAATCTGGTTTGCAAGTTGATGTCAAGGGGTAAATTGAAGAAGAAAAATGTAATTTTTTTTGACTGATCATTAGAATTCACCTCCATCGATAAGTATATGTGGGGTATTGTCTTTCTCTATACGTCTTATCAATCTCTGGTTTCTTACACTTAGATTCAAGGCCATTATACTCATACTTTGTTCTGAATTTAATTTTCGCTAGGGCTCATAATATTAAACTCACCTATATTCTCAAATAAACAGCGAGCTTAATGTTCGAATTTTTCACCTGGAATGCCATGTTTATGTTATACTGCAATCATGTATTCGTTTTGTTCCGTTTCCATTGCAACAATCACTTTCAAAATGTAACTACGTTTGTAACGATGTACATTTGATAAATATTGTATTATGTATTGTTCCTGTATTATGTATATATGTACAAAGACTGTTAAACCAGTGAAAAAAAGAATTTCCCGTAAAGGACAATAAATTTTCAATTCAATTCAATTCAATTCAATTACTTTCAATAAACTGGGGTGGTAATTTTCTCTACGACTGGACAAGTTTCTTTGGTGACAGTATCTTGTATTAGAAAAGGTTGCTTACTCCTTTGCTGACTGGTGAGCCCTTGTATGTCTCATAAGGACCAAGCTTAGCAGCAATCTTGCAGCTAGCCTTGAGAGCAGCATAGTAGATAGTCTCAAAGATCTGGATGTTGAGTTTCTTAGCCTCGACGCTCTCAAAGGGGAATCTCATGAGGATGAATGCATCAGCTAGACCCTGCACACCAATACCGATGGGACGATGGCGGAAGTTGCTACGCTTTGCCTGAATCGGAAGAGGAATCATCGGGGTGAAATTATGTCTTCTATTCATTTACAGGAAGAATGGAGATGTTCTGGGGGCCATTTATAAATTTGTCTATGTTTTCTGATTTTGTTAAGCTTTCCACAGATGAGTTGCTCCCCTCGTTACTCTTATTTCTTCTCTTTGATTGTTTTTTTGCTGCTAAACACACAATGACAACATTTCAATTAATTTTGGTGAACATTTTGAAGGAGATCTTCTGAGAAAAAAAAATGCAGTTATCATGATCAGTCACTTTCAACAATGTTTTCATGAGCAAAATATAACTTTAAGGGTACTATGTCCCATTTGCAGGCCCAAAAAATGAAAAGGTTAATTTCCAACAGCATTTGAAAGATAATACTAATTTAGAACTCCCCTTAAAAAAGGGGGGATTGAAAATGTCTTCAAGTTGGAAAATAATGACTATTAGTTGTCAAATTGACTTAGGAGTTATAGAGCCAATAAGTAATAGTCTTGATTTTCAGACCATTGTACCGCATGGTTGTACGTTTTATGCTGCGCAAAGATTCAATCAGTTTAATTTTGGCCATTACAAGAAGTAGGTTATTGATGTAGACAAATGCTCATGTACCCTTTACAGCTCATTTTATGTATGTTATTACCAAAGAAGGAAAAAAGCCAGTCAGTCACTCAATAGTGTCTGACAGTGGAGTCTAGCAAGTAAACGGGTTTCCTTGCATAACTTGAATATTCGGACACTGCTAACGTTTAAATTTCACAGATAGGACATACATGACATATTCATAATTCCTGCAAAGTCCTACAGCATTTGAGGTTGGCTGCAAAAGGGACATAGTACCTTTAATATAGCCTTTTATTTGGATTTTACCATGATACCCTTTCAATAAAATCTTCAGATTCAATCGATCAAATAATGAACTTGCTTACCTCTGGGACTGGGTAGTAGTTGATGTCAATAATCTTGTTGAGATTTTCAGTGATTACCATGGTAACCTCTTCAAGCTTCTTGAAGTCAAATGTACGGTCTTGTACAAACCGCGGCAGAGCGATGGAGGCAAGATTACATACAGCTACCTGTATGACGAGCACAAAGAAACAAAACATGAAAAATAATGCTTCTAACTGCCAAGTTTCAACATAAGATAACACAACTTTGACCAACTTTTGAAATTTCTACACAGCGGTCTGTCAAACAGATCCTTCATATTCCTTCATATTTCAATAGTGATCTGTCCAAAGACAGATCTAGTAACCTATCATTTAATCAAACAACTGTGTTTAAATATTGAGCCGACTACTTCACTACCCATATCTCACATATCCACAATTCCTACCAATTATTCAAACAAATTTATTCAATATGCTCAATTTTGGACTACTCTATTTCTTATAACATATTCAATATGTTCTAGTATGTCATTTGTTTTCATAAAATTGAAGACTCGAAAAAATCACAAACGATTACAAATTTTTGGGAATAAATTGAACTGAACTGAGCGTACTGACCTCATCAGCACTGGAGTACTCTACGATCTCTGTACACAGATTACTGCACTTGATGGTGCCCAAGTTTTGTTGGTTACTCTTCTTGTTACAATGGTCCTTGTAGACCATGTAAGGGGTACCAGTCTCTGTCTGGGATTCGATGATGGCATACCACAGAGCCTGAGCCTTGATTGTCTTCCTTCCACGACCTGCTTTCTCATAACTGGAAAAAAAGGAAAATGGGTTCAATGTTAATTGAAGGGATGAACTGCTCACAATTGTCCATTTTTAATATTCTACCACTCTTACTGGAGAGACTATTAGACATCGTAGTCAGCAAAAATAGACTTACTCTATCAGAGGGGACAGGGTCTGGTAAAATTATTATCAGCTATAAGTCACATTGGTCGAAAGCCAACTTAATATTATCTGAGTTTGAATTACTAGTCAGCAAAAACCTACATAATCATTCACATTAGCAAGGAAGGAATTCTTTGAAAGCTAGAGCCTCTTTTCACAGAAGCTCGGCTAAAGCTGGTGTGAAAATATGATTGCAGGGCCCTAATGGAGAATGGTATTAATACGGATAAGGCTACTCTGGGCAAACAAGAGATATCATTATTATCATTATTACTCTTTCTCCATGATCTTTACTTTGGATTGCATCATTGCACTCATGATATTGAGGAGGTGAAAGTTGGCCATCTGAAATCTCTAAATGTCTCTACTGCACAGCTGACAGAGAGCAATAGCAGATATCAATGCTGCATATATCATCCCGAACTAACATATTTCACAAAGGATAAAGACTTGAGACCATTTTGTTCTTCAAATACTTACCCCTCATAAAGAGTTTCAAACTCCTCTCCCCATACTTCATGTAGCCCTGGGCTTTCATGAGGGCACATAAGGGTCCAGTCTCCGTCAGCTTCCACCCTTTTCATGAATAGATCTGGGATCCAGAGACCGTAGAACAGGTCCCGAGCCCTCTGCTCCTCCTTACCATGGTTCTTCTTACAGTCTAGGAAGTCAAAGATGTCTGCATGCCACGGCTCCAGGTAGATTGCGAAAGCACCAGGACGCTGCAAGAAGGGACATAAGGAGACGATTATACTGCTTCTATACAGCGTGACTGTATTCTACAAGTTGTCTGGCAACCTACACCTCAATCCATGTGAGCTCAACTGTTTCCGATGTTCATGTTCAAATTAGCATTAGTAGAAGGTAAGGTTCATGATAGTAGACATTCATTGAAAATTACAAGTATGGACAATAATTTATCACCAGAAACCATGGCGATGCCCATGTCATGCTGAAAACTGTACATTATTTTTGCTATATACCTCTTTCACAGTTCGGTGAGGAATCTTGTAGATTAATTGGCAAGAATACAATAAATCTCTCAAAATTTCTTGGGGTGAAGTTTCCTTGAATACTATGCATTCTCTCACATCGCTTGTTTTGAAAACATGGTATAACCGTATTCTCTGAAAATGAGATGTTTGAAGTGAATCCTTACCTTGTTTCCTCCTTGGTCTACATATCTAGCTGTATTGTTGTATACACGCAACATGGGGAGTAAACCATTGGAGTTACCGTTGGTCTGAAAAAGAGAATAACAACCAATTAGTACATGTATGAAATAATAATATCAGATACTTCTCTATAGAGTTCATATCCATCGCAAAGCGGCTCCTTTACACGATGGATTTTAAAAGGCATTCTGTTGGCAACTGTCAGTTCTGAAATCATCTTGTAAATTACATTTATCTAAGCGGCAACCAAAATAAGAGGTTTCACAGTCTAAATGACAATATTATCAATATCAATATGCTAAATGGACAAGACATAACGGCTCCTTACCCCTGCAATGTAGCTACCCGATGCCCTGATGTTGTGTATGTTGAGACCGATACCGCCAGCCGTCTTGGAGATGAGGGCGCAATTCTTTAGTGTCTCATAGATACCGTCAATGCTGTCATCTTTCATCGTCAGGAGGAAGCAACTGATTATAGAAGAACAAAATCAGAGATTAATAAAGAAAACTGAGCTACACAGCTGGTCGAGTTGATACAACACAACCTTACAAAACAATTCAATCCTGACAGTTTTGTGTACTGTGCCTTTACCTTGCAGTATAGGGATTGCTTAAATACCAATCCATACTCTCTCTAAAAAAGATAAAGAGGGCCTGCAAAAGCTTCTAGAATTGGTCCACAGATGTAGCATTGCGAATAAGTGCTGTAAAACCGGAAACTTCCATGCACATGGAATGTTCATGAATTTTGTAAGTAGTTTGATTTGCAAAGGTCGCCCTGTAACCTAAATCACCTGTCAAGGTATTTCCATGTCTCACCTTGATAGCTGTGGTCTGTTGGTACCAGCGTTGAAGAGAGTCGGTGAAGCGTGCGTGAACCACCTATCTGAGAGGAGATTGTAAGTCTGGTGAGAGAGAGAGAGAGAGAGGGAGGTAAAAAATGATTAATAATCATATCAGAACGTCATCTTAAGGGCATGCAATGTGACTCAATCAAATATGATATTGTAATGAATAGAAGAGCGTAAATGGAGAAACACAATACAGAAAGCAATGAACAAAAAATGAAAATGAACATCAAAATTTATATTTAGGAAAACAAATATTTGGGTGATTGGTTCTTGTGTTATAGTAAAGGTTTCCATTTTCCAACATGCATTCTTTCTGTAACACCTGTCCAAAACAGAAAAGTAATGCAATCATGATGCAAGATTTTACACACAGGCTGTAGCAGTAAAGAGTATTGATGTTTTTGTTTAAAGGGCAAAAGATTTGAACATTTATGAAGTATTGTGGGAAGGCAGAAATTACCTGTATTGCTGCATCAATATCCTTTCCATGGATACCCACAGAAACCCTCATCAACATGTGCTGGGGTCTCTCGGCGACTACAGGGAAACAGAGAAGACAAATTACAATGATTAGACAATTAGTATGTCACAGATGATCAGGTTTTTTTTCTGGTAAAAATCTGTAAAGGTAGAAATTCAATAGTATGTCACAGACCCCAAAGACCAAACTAAATGTACATGTAGGCATCATATTGATAAAACATAATAAATCATACCATTCTTAAACCTATGATCTGCCACTGTCAGGTAATCATTTTGATTTGTTCATATCAAAATCTTTGCTTTGGTAGTTACACCCTGCAATATAATTCCTATATATACGTCTTATAAAAATCTTTTACAATTTCACTATTTTGCACTTACCTTTTCCATTAATCTTCAGGAGGTAGGATCGTTCTAGTGTCTGCAAAGAATAAGACGATATATTATGGTACTTGGGGAGAAAATGATAAATGGATACCACGTCTTTATTCCAAGATAATCTTTAATCTCTCAGTCTCCCCACAATTCAATCAATTTGGCTCAAGTCTACCTCGGAATCACTGTTTGAATAATTAATTCAAAGAAATACTAACTCATTATAGTATTTGACATAAATTCTATTTTAGAAGAGCAGAGGGGCATGAGGCCACATTAAATGTTATTATCAAATTTTTAAAATCTTCCTGTTACTACAAATCTTTAACATAAACTAGGCCTGATATGAAGGTTTGTAAAGGGAGTGTGGGGGTGGAGGTGAACAAAACAGTTCAAGTAATCCAAACCTAGAATCACAGAACAAATATTATTTGACACTAATATTCAGACGTCTCATCACCACTAAACAAACATTATCATAACTCGCTTCTCACCTTGAATCCAAAGTAGTTGTATTCAAAGTCCCTGTCGTAGAGTACTGCAGAGTTCAGCCTCTGTGGGAGGAAAATAACATCAACTTTATATAAAATATTGTGATAATAACTGAGCATTGATCAGGAACAAAATTAATTAGTGATTCATTTTATAAAAAAAAAAGGAAATATATGACATTAACCGTTATCATATCAGTTCAATTCCCCTTTTTCAAATTCACTTCAACATCATCCTCACTTTTTACATCAATATTAGTTGTAGAATAAAACGTCTGAGAACTAGTTGTTGATCTATTAATTTAATGGTTCATTTGATTATTTCTTCTTTCTACAAAATGTAGAATGTATGGGACTACATGGAAAAAGGGTGGCTTCCCTACTACTTGCTCTTGATATGGTGTTGGATAGCTGTCTACATTGTTACACATTACTTACATCAGCATTGTCATTGATGATTGTCATGGTTTCTTCGCTAATAAGAGGGGAATGTAGGCCGTTCCTTGGGTTTGTGTACTCAAAGAGATCCTTCATCACAGCTTTATAAAAATGAAACACATCAGAATATTACAGAGGTTTAGTTGAAATTCTTTCAATGGTAGATCAAAAATACTTTCAGTTTCTTCAATAAATTACATTTATGACCCCACATTCGACACATATATCTTGATAATCAAAATAAAATCAATCAATCCAGTTCAAAATCTGTTTTCTTCATATTATGAAGAGTTAAATGGATGAATGAATTATTAATTTTAACACAAATTAAGATTATGACCTTTGACCTCTCGATATCCACAGTTTGCCACCTTTCCTAATTAGGTATTGTGTGTGAAGAAGGGAGAGCAGACAAACTTTTAGAAGTTTAACAGATAGGAGTGTTTGCTTTATACTCTAAAATCAGTAACTTACCACTGAAGAGTTTCTTTGTCTCTTTATGGAGGTTAGAGACGGCGATACGGGCAGCAAGAACGGCGTAGTCAGGATGCTTGGTCGTCATGGTAGCAGCGGTCTCTGCCGCGAGGGTATCAAGCTCTACGGTCGTCACACCTGGGTAGACCCCGCTGATCACTTTCATGGTGATAACAGCCTGAAGAATGGCAAAGTAATTTTACAAACATCAATATGCATTTATGGGACTGAGTAATATCATTGGTTCTGACAGAGCCTTGTAAATTTTCATTTCAATAACCGGTAGTTAATATCATTCACTTCAAGTACAGCCCAACAAACTGGCTTGTTATAAAAAATACACAACATAAATAATAGCCGAAGCATTCCCCTACATTTAATTTTACCAGATCAACCCCCCCCCCCCCTTGAAATTAATAAAATGTCTCATTCTATAAATATACTGCACATTATTGGTTTTGCTTTCTCTTTTGTTGTGACTTTATGTACCAGGAAGGCTCATAAATTGTTGCAATGATATTTGTTCAATGTTTTCCCCAAATTTCATGTCATTTATAATGTTGTTGCCATGGTCTTCCATGATCCCCAAATACATGGCCAAAAGATCTGCAAGCTATCCAGCTCAACAGCTTTTACTCTATATAATTGCACACACTCTGAGATGGTGGGGCATATAACAAAATTCTATAAAACAGCATTGCTTGTAATTCCATTATTCCATCAATGCACAACAGACCTCTATGGACTTCCCTAGGAATGTGTAATACAAGAGAAATTTGTCAAAGAGATGTTTTGGTAAGAGGCACAGGGTTCATGCTGGACATGCCTTCCAATAACAAAGACCTCTTACACCAAATAGGTGTGAACTTGTCCTTGGTCCCATACTACTCCAAATCAAGTTTAATATCTGATTTAAGTACATCTCACTCAGATTTCCTATTACATACATGTTTAAATGATGTGATATATAAAATATGTATAAATAAATGGAAGAGTGTATTGCACATGTAGTTTTTATCTTGTGTCCCTAAAACTAAAAGGCCCTGATGAAAGATACAGATTTCCTGAAAACCAATTGGTGCAAACAAGTGTAGGCCACATTTGCCCCATTGAGTTAAATAATCAAAAAAAGTATTAGAGTACCCCCCCCCCCACAGCAAATCCATTCAATACCTCACCCCCCCCCCCCAACAAAAAAACAAAACAAAACAAAAAAACAACCCCAAGGTATACTTCATGCATGCTACATGTTTTAAACACGTATTACACATACAGTAAAATAGTTCTGATGGGTACATGGAAAGCATTGCTTAATCTCACAAAGGGAATTTTCTTGACTAGAGCTGCTCAAACAGATATTCCAAGCTCGGTTGTTTGGTTTGACAAGTTCAAGAAATTCCTAACAAAACTAAGTGACAGAACCCTCACCTCCAAAAACCTTTAGACTGCATATTTGTATTTGTTCAAATTTGGGGTTGTTTGCAAAGAGACAAAAAGCACAAGATCATCAAGAACTCAAGATGATAAAGATTTACATCTCTTTCTCACAATTGCTATGGGATATGCATTAGATAAACTGTTGGATTCAATGACTAGGCAATTTAAAAAATTGGATTCGTAGCCTAAAATTGTTCAATCATGTTCAATCTTGTTAATGTGAAGTCCAACAATAGTTTCATGTGACTGCCAATACCTACAAATTTTCCAGGCATTTTTTCACAGTAAAAACAAAAAACTTTTCTTACCGGGTCGATAAAGTCTGAATTCAGATTGTAACATAACCTCTGAATACGAGATGTGATCTTGTCAAACATGACAATCTCCTTCCTCCCATCTGAAATATAGAAATTAAGAAAAGCATGGATTTATTAAAGAGTAAAGACCTTATCATTCATTAGAATATCAATTCATTTTTCTGGCAGGAAGAACAGTTATGGCCACAACATAAAACTAGTGGAAATATCTAAATAAGGCCTAACAAAGTAATTATTCATTGTTGATTACAGAAAAACTCTGAAAAAGTTAAAAGCTGTAACTAAAATTCGGTCGGAACAAGATGAATGTGATAGCAAATCACATGATTTTACATGATTTTTTTCTCAAGGGGGGGGGGGGGGGGGGCCGGGAAGCCCGGAAAAACTGTGCGCCATCTACACGTTCGTAATGGCGTTATCACAGTTTTTCCTTCATAATCATTTTTGCCTTCGGCGTAGACTAGAAGGGATGGGATTGATTTAGATGACTCCGGCGGCGAGAGTTTAACACGGCTTGCAAGATTTTCAACATGGATGTCGATTTTGACCCATAATTTCCTTAAAAGGGACCATTAAACGGATTATTTCAATCAAGTTAGTAAGTGGAACCGATGTAAGTAATAGTATTATAGCCTAGGCCTAATTTACATTTGGATATACTCGAGGTAAAATGACATTTTGGGGGATTTTGGGGGCAAAACGCTACGACCTGAAATGGCCGTGGCGTTATCAAGGGAATGTGTATAGACGGTTTCCGTCTCTAGTCTAAAGAGAGAGCCGGCCGACCCTACCCCAATAAGAGGCAAACAAACGAAAGAGACGGAAAATTCGGTCTAACGCTGATGATGACTTGTAGTTGTAATTTAGGTAATTAACAGACTATGATTTAATGAATATGATGAAGTACGACTATCGACATTACTGTAGGCCTAGTATGACGAGGAAGTTTGACATAGACCCTAGTCTAGAGTAGAATCTAGACCCGAGACTAGTCTATCAGTATCAGTATCAATTATCACCATGGCCATGATCACAAATGTCATTTTTTAATTTTAAATTACCCGAGTCCACCAGCATTAGATATGGAGTGAATTCTTTAAGAAAAACATTTTTATTTTAACTTGGTTTTACTGATTTGAAACTGACATACAAGTAGAACATAAGACTCAATACAACTCAATAATTACAGTGTCACTCACAATAGCCAAAGTCACATCACACATTCACAAAATGCACAGTCACTCACTGCACCCTGACTCAAGTCTCAAATATTTAGTAATTTACAAAGAAAACACATGAAAGACTAATTCTTATTATCAGTATAATCTTACCTCTCTTCTGTACGTATGTTCGCTGCATCTTGGGAAAGTAACTTGGAATATACAACCAAATTGCAAGAAAAAGACAGACTGATCACGACACAATGACCGCTACCACTACCAGTTCACCGCTCTCTAGCTAGCTGTTGAAAACAGCGCCAAAATAAAAAAGATTCCCGCGGTATTACAACTCAATACGTACACATGTACGATTTATGGGCTACGGACGTAATTAAGAGCAGCCAGTCAGCTGATTGGCCAATGCAGGGGTGAATTTTCTGAATTCTGGCGCGCCAAGAAATTTCCATTGTTCGGTATTGTCAATCCATAGGCAGCCCGCCTGACTAAACAAGGAATTCGCTCCTTTAGTAAAGTTGCTGATTATATTATAACACTGTAAGACATCATAGACATAATATACGTTCTCTACCCGGTTATTTGCAGAATAGTAATAGTATTAAATAGTGGTAGTATAGTATGAAAAGTAGTAGTAATAGTTATAACAATAATTATCATAAAAAAGAAAATGACAATAATATTAACACTAATAATAATAATGATAATAATAATTCAATTCAATTCAATTTATTATTTCATAAAAAATCACATACAATATATACATTAAGAAGTGTACTGGATCATTAGCACCCGATAAAGCTGATGGCTTGAGGGAAGTGGGACACTTTTTTTTAGGTCAGCCAAGGAGGGGGGGGGGGAGGGGGTTCGCCAAAATACACACATAAAAAATAACAAAGGGGGGGGTTCAACCCCCCAAATTCCCCCCCCCCCCCCTGCGTACGCGCCTGATTAGGGTTAATTTTAGGGTACTTACCTTACCCTTAAACCTAGGACTCGACTGCATACTCACCATCACCTTCATTATCAGCAGCAGTATAATTCATTGCAATAATTCATAATATCCATCACCATCATCATGCAGAATCATCATCAAGGGCCCCAAAATCATCATCATCCTCGTCATGATCGTCATCTTATCTTCATCGTCTTCCTCACCATCCCCACTATCTCACTAGCACCATCACCAACATCATTATCAGAGGCGGCCCTCCGGGGGGGGGGGGGGGGCAAGGGGGTACAGTGCAGGGGCGGCGATTTCTTTTCATGACCGGGGGGGGGGGGGAACGAAATGCGAGGGACGAGGGAGCGGTGGTGTAATGAGCAAAAACCTTTTTTTTTGTTGGGGGGGGGGGAGAAAAAAAATCCGCATCCCCACCACTTTTGCATGTAAACGCAGGCCCTGGGAACGTTTTTCAAAGTGGGAGGGGGGGGGGGCTAAAGTACTTACGATCAGGTAGAGCAAAGCAAAGCAAAGTGGAGCGTAAATTGGCGTAGGGTCCAGGGGCAAAGGCGGGTGTCAAGAGGTGGAGCCTCACGAGGCTCAGGGGTTTTAGGCATTTATTAAGGTCAGATGAGCATCCTGCATGGGAGCAGAGCCCCCGGAAGCTCAGGAGTTTTAGGCATTTAATTACGATCAGATGAGCATCCAGGAGCCGCCTTAGGGCCCTTGGTGGGGTCCAAGGGGCATAGCCCCTGGAAGCTCAGGCGTTTTAGGCATTTATTTACGGTCAGATGAGCAACCAGGGGCCCGCGTTAGGGCCCTTTGTGGGGTCCAGGGTGCAGAGCCCCCAGAAGCTCAGGGAAAAATCATGCCATTTCAACAACATTTGTAAACCACTGGTATCGAATAAGAAATAAATCACGCTTGAATTTCATTTGGAGGGAACTGCCCCCAAAGCCCCCCCCCCCCCATCAGTACACAAGTGCGAGGGAGCATAGTGAATGAGAGAGTCGAAGGTGACGGAAGTGACTACCCCCTCACAGGTTTCTGAAGTTTTGTTGTATTAAAAGTTACATTCCTTAGCAAAACTATAGTATAAAAACAAGCAATAGGCCTATACTTCATATGGAAACGTTGTATCATCCGCTCAATCTGACTTGCGTGCATAGAACAAATAAGCATTTTTCCATGAAAAAGTGAAGTTTTCTAAAATTTGCGTTTCTTTCCAGCATTGGGGCGCCCGGAAGTCACTCGGGTAACATTTCATAAAGTATAATATAAAAAGACCATATGCAAATTTTCTGTACTTTTGTCGGAAAAAATACATTTATCCAGCACAATGTCGTCTCTTTTTGCGTTGGAGAAGAGCAAATAGCGAGTTTCAATCACACTTTGGCCGATCTTGCGAGCTCTCACTCGTTTCACTGTGGTCAAGAGACTTTGGGGCAAGCGGTTAATGAAAATACTAATCGTTAGCTTTCTTCTGGTATCAAACTTGTTTTGATTGATTGTATAATTTTGTCGGAATAAAGGAAACAAAAATGCTCGACCAACAACTCATCAGCGTCTGAATTGACCTTTTGACCTTGAATTCCCTGATGCAAGCGCACTAATGACGTGATCTTTGCTAAATCGGTGTCTTTTATCGTAAAATGCGACACTTTCACAATGTTTATACATCTTTTTTGAATTATTAGTAAGATATTACATATTTTTTCTGATATCACTGAAGTTTTGGGTTTCATTTAGTGAGTAATTTTAAAATAAGAGCCATTTTATTGTTTTAATTTACTGGATCGTACCATTAAAGTTGCAGGGTAGAAAGATGCATTTTCCAACCGCGCCAAATTTAATTTACGTTCCGACATTATGTTAAATGGGTTCGTGTTGTTAAGAATCCACTGCTTTCTGCTCCAACAAACGTCCACACGCGGAGTCGTTTATCAACTAAATTATTCAAATTTATGGATGCTTCCTAGCTTCCCATGTGTTTGTGTTGCTGTTGAAGCATTTCATTCACCTGCTATCATTCTTTGTACTCCAGTTGCCAGAACGCAAATTTCATTTTGGTTTTATAGTTTCATCGGAGTCGTTTATCATATATATGTATTCAAATTTATGAATGCTTCCTCCCCAGGTGTTTGTGGTGTTTATGCATTTCATTCACCTGTTATTATTCTTTGTACTCCTATTGTTAGAATACAAAATGCATTTTGGTTATAATAGTTTCATGCAATAAGTAAGTCAATAAAAGAGTATGTTCTGCACAATAAAAACAATGTGTGTCCCTATTGTACAATGTAATGTGTCCCCTCATTTTGTAATAGTTAATTTACCCATTCACATAATGGAACTACCTGCCCGATGAAGCCATTGGCCTGTGACCCCTGAGCACTCAACACCGTGTGGGAGTCAGTTCGTGCTCATATTCTTTTATGAGACAAATACAAGCAAACGTTTCCATATGTTTCACACTTCAATTTTCTCGGTATTTACGTTTAAAGGATATTATACGAGAGAGCGTTGCTACCGAGTGAGAACATTTTTTGCATTTTTGTTTGTCTAAACGCTGCACTCTTGGGCCCTCCAGAGCCAAAAAGTATGTTGCAGACTTTCGTCAGTATTGTTGTTGCACTTTTTCAATTTTTGAGGGGGGACGACCCCCCTTAAAAAAAATGAGGGGGGGACGTGTCTCTCCGTCCCCCGGGATCGCCGCCCCTGGTACAGTGCCCCCACTTTTTTCAACCACCTGAAAAGTGCCCCATTTTACATAGGAAAGTGCCCCTTTAACTTTTTAAGAAGTGCCCCTTTTTACATAGGAATAGTAACCCCTTTAATTTGTCAAGGGCTCCTATTTAGTTGTAAAAGTGCCCCTTCCCCTTTTCTACTCTGATAAGTGCCCTTTTTATTTGGACAAGTTCCCATTTTCCTTTGCAATAAGTGTCCGAAAGTAAGGGCCCCTTTTCACTTTTGATAAGTGCCCCCGTCACCTCTGATAATTTTCCTATTTAAATCTGAGAGGTACCTCTTTTACTTTGACAAGTGCCCCTTTTCCTTTGTAAGAAGTGCCCTTTCCCCTTTTAATAACTACCCGGCCATTTAAACTCGGATAAACGCACCTTATATTTTCACATATGCCCTTTTCCCTCTCTAATTAGTGCCCCTTTCCCTAATGATAAGTGGCCCATTAAAAAAAGAGCCCCTTCTCTGGTAAATGACCTTTTTCAGGTACGAGAAGTTTTTTTCGCCCAGATAAGTGACCCCTTCACCTCCAATATATTTAAGATCTGATCTGTGCCCATTTTTTTTAAACTAATGCACATTTTCCTTTATTACAAGTTTCCCTTTTAACAATATATAATAGTATCTTATAAATGCCCCTTTCAAAATCTAATTTCAAGCGACTAAAAGTAATTTCCCCCAAAACTCGCTCGCTACGCTCGCACGCGTCTATAGATGATATACTTATGCTCCTTATCAAAGTCTTTTCAGTCTTCCGTTATGAGAATCTGCTTATAACCCCATTAGGATTGTTTTTTTCCCTCTTTATAAGATGTAATTTTTCGCACTGCGACCTCACACATCTTTATTTTTTCTCGCTCGCTTCGCTCGCTCGCAAATAACTTTTTAGACAATCATACCCAACTGCAAAGCATGGTTCTTTATGCAATATCTTGAATGGTGTATAAAGTGAAACAAATATTGAAATCACCCCTGATAATTGTAATCACAGTGTAGGGGTATATACCAATGTCTAAACAATTTTTGCTTTGAGATTTTCCTTTGTAGGTGCCCTTTTTTCTAGAAAGTGTCCCATTTTCTTGCTCCCCCCCACTTTGGAAGTCCCTGATCATTATCTTATCATCTTTATCGTCTTGAACCATCCCCATTATCTCACTATCACCATCACGGACCAGGGGCGTCGCTAGACCTTTTTCAGTGGGGGGGGGGGGGGTGTAGAGGCCAACGATTACCGACAAAACTAGCCACCAATTACCCACAAAATTAAATGTCCAATATCTACACATTTAACCCTATAAACCCGGGGCCGAAGGCTAAAATGTTTTTTCTATGGACTATCTGTACTACTTGTACAAATACTAGTACAAATGATCATTTTCCACGACGACACAAATATACGAATTATTTCGTCAACTTAGTCAGCATTCATAGCTATATATTTTAATGCAGGCGCGGAGCTAAGATCTTATTTTAGGAAGGGGCGGTAGTGAGCAAGCGAAGCGCGCTCATTAGGGGGGTGTGGGTGATAGGCCTTCCGCGCGAAGCTCGGAAGCTTAGACGTTTCTTAAATTATTAGGAAAAGAAGACGATTTGTTGTACCGTTCTCGACTG